AATTGTTTGTTGTTAGGAAACCAGGGTTTTGAAGCAAAGGTTTCTCAGGGAAGCGTCACGGTTTGCTCAGTAGATATACGGGGAAATCGACAGGAATCCCCTTAAACCAATGATGGGAAAACATGGTTTCCTATAGATTATTTTTTCCATATATATATATATATATATATTGGGAATTTCATCATCCCAACTGATATTTTTCAGAGGGGTAGGTATACCACCAACCAGTATAGATTCTCCCTTAAACCAATTGACAGGTCGACAACCGCTCCACCAACGCAATGCACATTCAATGCCCATTCCCAGGTCGAAATGGCCCGCCTCACATCGCTCAACAAATATCGGGAGCCGAGGGGATCACAGTCAGAAATCCTTCCAATGGCGAAACATGCTACGAATACTCAATTTATGATACTTGGAGGGTTTAGGTATATATATATATAATATGATAATATATAATATTATAATATGATTCTAAGTATATTATATTATAGTTTATTTCATTAGACTATATATTTTATTATATCATAATCATATTTGCATATTATATTAAAATATAGTTTGAATTGACCACGCCCAGTTTCCCAAATGCCCTGCACCCCTCCACCCGTTAAGATGTCTACTCATTTGCCATCCAGCCTTCTCAAGTTTTGATGGTGATTCATAGCCTTTTGCAATCTTTTGCGCAATATTGTTGGGGAGGTTCCAACCTCAAAAGTGTTTGCTCTTTCTATGGATTTCTCCTAATATATAAGTTCATATACTGTATGTCCAGTGAATTTTGGATATTAGTCCAGAAATGTAGCGTGATACAATCAAAGAGCCACAACATAGAGAAAATCATTCCTGTATTTTTATGTTTTGGTTGCAGTTCATTTACTGTTTGTACTGTTTATTTCTTTTTTCCTATTGTTGCGGAATCGGACAGCGAGAAACTTCGAAGGAAACTCCAGGTTTGGCTGTTAAATTCATGGTGTCCTTCTGGTTCTCCCAAAACCACCAATCCATTGATACTATACCCTCTGGTTCTTTAACGTAACTGGAAAATTGCTCATAGCAATAGATGATCTTTGATGGTTTGACTAAAATTGGTATGGGAAATCCATCAGATTTTTGGTGATTATGATGTTCTATGATCTATTGATGATCTAAGGTGGAAAATCATAAAATTGCCATGATGATCTATGATCTATTGATGATCTAAGGTGGAAAATCATAAAATTGCTATGATGATCTATGAATTTTGGTGATTTTCCAGTTCGCTTCGTTAAACGTCACCAGAGTCTCAGAGTTGTCCCATGCTTTCGACAGGTTCCGACACATTTTTTCGACACCAGGAGCAGCTCTGTGGGGGTGGCTGGAGCACCACAGGCATCGGCAAGCAGTACTCGGACGTAACTTGGATCGATCAGAAATGGTCAACATATGGCGTTTTTGATATTGGTTATTTTTGCTTATTTATGGTTATTTATGGCAATAGTTTGCTTATTTATGGTTAATGCCAACACCGGATTATAATAACCCCCCCCAGAAGGTCAGAACTCTACCTTGTAGGTCCCCCCTTACGCACCCCTTAATAATAAGCAACTCTGAACCATAAAAATTTGGATATGGCTTGAGTCAATTAGATCATCATAGAATTCCACTGGATTTGATAAGATTTGGATTGTAAAACCTCATGGAACCCATAAAATTCCATTGGATTTGATCAGATTTGAATCCTAAAACTTCATGAACCCCATCAGATCCCATTGGATTTGATAAGGTTTGAGTGTCATAACCTCATGAATCCCATCAGATTCCATTGGATTTCATAAGATTTTGATACTTAAAACCTCATGAATCCCATCAAATCCCATGATTTTTTATAAAGAATTTTGGATAAAAAAAAGGATTTCAGCAAAGGGGGTTGATTAATCATGTCCTAGCCAAATGGTTTATTAATCCTGAGGGACCACCTGTGTTTAAATGGCATTTTTTTTTGGGAGGAGAAGGCTGATTAAACCCGGGGTGTTGATTAATCCTGACTTGACATTGTTCATGGTTATTTATGGTTACTAATGGTTATTTACTACAGACATCTATATTATATATATATATAGACCCATAGTCACATAAACTATATTAATATACATATAATTACATATATATATATATATATTAGTCAATATATATCATAGACCCATAATCAATGCTTATATATATATATATATGTATGTGGCTATAGTCAGATAAAGTATTTTCAGACAATTGCCTATGGAAGGTTTACCTTCATTTATCGAACCAAAATGGTGATTCTTCCATGGCTATGTTAAATAACAAGAGGGCATCGTTGCAACCAAAGAAACTATCAATTATAAACAACATTAGTCAACAGTAAACTGAACTGATTCTACCAAGTCAATCTAGATGTTTAGAACCTTTCCATCACCTTTCCGCCTTTGTCCCAAGGTCATCGGCGAGATTTGCATGCGAATTGGCATCCACCAGCCGGCTACGGTCACTTCCCAGACGCCATCCCTGCCCATGAGGTGCGATAGATCAATGGGTCTGTGTTTAAGTGGCGTAAAAATAAAACCATGGTCCTTTGCATCTTCCATGGTCAGATAGCTAATAGATTCAACTCAGATGCTCTTATCGGTGCTCCAACTACCAAAAAAATTCCATGGATTCCCTGAAATGTTTCTCCGTTTGATGGAGTTTGGTTATGGATAGGATGGATTGTCCCGTTGTCAAGCTGTTTTTGGCTCATTTGGGATATTTTGGAGATATGCAAAATGACCCACGAGTTTGGATGAGTTATGATGATTTATTATGTTTTATGATGTTTTATGATGATTTACATTTACCAATCGAAAATTGTGATTTTCCATGCCTAGGTTAAATAACCAGAGGGTATATTCGATGGAATGCCTCAAAGATATGGACTTTAAGGGTCAAATGCTACAGTACTTTACGCTTTAAATTGGAACAATAATTAATAGTTACAGTATCATCATTTATTATCCATAATTTCAAAATTGGAATAGTCAATATAGTTGCTATGCCTTTTATAATATTACGCACAGACCCCGTGGTTTGCCCGGACTGCAACATTGAGGATTCTCTGTCGTCGAACATGAGAAGAGAAATTACAGAAAACACTGTGTATGCAGAAAATACTGCGTATACGCAGTGTTTTCTTCTTTCGGATTCAGAGTATTCAGGGTTTTAGGGTTTTAAGGTCCTAGGGTTTTAGGGTTTTAGGGTTTAGGGTTCGTGGTCTGGTAAATACCAAAACACTGGCCCTGTGCAGGTTTTTGAGCATGTCGAAGGATAATATTTGAATTCCATTCAAAGCTTATGGGCAAACCATAGGGTCTTGCTGTAATATTAGACATATATGGGTTACATATACTTGTCAGGCTGGATATTAATAAGCCTAAGACTTTAAGATATAAGTAAGGCAGCCTGACAAGTATTACTTATTATATCTTATTATCAATTATATAATAGGCAAACAATATTTGTCAGGCTGGTTACTTCCACATTCCAAGCATGTAATCCCATCCCCCGTTGTGAAACACCCAGAAGAGCTTCCCCTAGATTTGCACTATTTTATGATCCAACATGGCCCAACTGTTGGGGCCTGGGGTGGTTTTAAAGCATCATTTCTCAAATAATATTGCCCTATACCATTTGGGGATTATATATTTACGATCCATAAACATGGGAATATTGGGGATAGATCATGTTTAAGGTTTTTTGTCACAAGTAAAAAAAAATGGAGGTGTCCTAAACTTGGGGGTCCCACCGAAAAAGAATCCAGTGTAAAATGTTCCATTGTAAACCATCCAATTATTGGGATACCGCTATTTTTATGGAAACCATTGGAAACCCCATGAAATATTCACAATAAGGAACATGATTTCTCAACCAGTGGACCTATAGCGCTACCCCTTCTGTTTCGACCCAGTGGTTTCTGTGACATCATCCCATGGGAAGACCCAGATGTGGTGGATTCCTTGTGGGGTTTTGCAAAATGGACAAAATCTCCGGGTCATGATGAAGATGATTGAAATCTTAACTAATGGTTATGTAATGAAATATTAATGAAATCCATTCCGTTATTAATGAAATACATCTTAACTAAATCTCTGGGTTTTCAATGGTTGATGAAGCCTGAACGCCTTTGTGATGCGTGAGGCTGTTCTGAAGATGATTGAAACTTTTCCCTAATCTCCGGAGAGCTCCCCACGTGTCAAAATCCTTTTGGTTATCGTTCATGGTTCACCAGGATTATGCTATGGTACCAGCACCACAATAATTATAGATCACTTATAAATATGATGATCTCGGTTGGGCATCATACTTGGTTGAATGATGACTACTTGCTGGTGCTAAACGCAGGGAATTTTCGGGAATGATCCATAATAACTATATATAGTCATAGTAATAATCATCCCAGCAACCCCCCATCCATACCCTACGTTTAGCACCAGTAAGTCATCTATTCCCTATTCCCCCACCAAACAAAATTGGCCCGATGCGAAACTCCGGTTTAGTCTTGGATTTGAAGATTTTGGAGTTGCCCCGCAGCTGACTGTGTCAAGCAGGGATCAAGGGTCGAAGTTGACTAAACATGACCAAACCATGGGCTTCCATTGCGCCTAGTGACCCTAGTGACCCTAGTGGCTTGGTATGCCAAGGACCATGGTTAAAACCATTCTCTTTCCGGCCTGGAGTCTGTGTTTCTTGAAATCGGTTTTGAGAAGTCAGACGTGTCTCAGAGGGCTAGGTCTCCTTCTTTTTTTTCCCATGTGGAAAAAATACTGGTTTACTGATGTTTACTGGAAAAATTACTGGTTTACTGATATTTACTGAACAGTAAGCACAGAAGTCTTCTTGCATTTGACATATTTGACCCTGTTGCCTGACACGGTAGCCAACCGACGAAGTTCGAGAAGTCCCTTTCTGCCTCGTTGCGACCTGTTCCGCGTTCGGCTTGCCGTGCAGAACACATGGATGCAAATGAGACTTTTTGGGCCGCCTGGCTGAGCGGAATACAATCATGGCCGATTGAGTTTTTGATCAGGTTGGACCAAGCAATTTCGAGAATCCCCAACTGGGGCTTGCTATGGATGCTATTACTCCTCTTTGGGACAATGATGTAAAAATGACCCCTGAATTCCCCCAAATGTTGGTTACGGGAATGTGATGGAATGTGTTAAGATGCTGACACATCCATTTAGCCCAAAGCAGCATGGGAAAATCCCTTCCCAGTGTTAAACATCACTAACATCAGAAACCCTGTTTTTGTTGGTATTTGATCTGTTCGAATATCGGGATTGCCTAACCTGGGAGTCTTTCATATTGCGGGATACAAGCAGGTGCAACCGATGTTGGACCAGCCAAGCCTCGTGCTGGGGAGAACACTCAGTTTTTTGTTTTTTGTTTTGATCAGCTTCACAAGTAAAAAACTTGGTGGTTTGTTTTTTTTCCTGAATTTCCATTCAGTTGGGAATGTATAATCATCCCAACTGACTTGAACTCCATGACTTTTCAGAGGGGTAGGCGTACCAACCACCAACCAGCTAAAAGATATGGATTTGGATGACCATCGTGGCGTCAATGATGGTGAATGGGCCTCGGGAACATAGGAACATGATCCCCATGGCCGCACGGAATCGCACGGAGCTCAGCGATTTTTTCGGCTTTGGGAGCTGCTAAAATACTCGGCACTGGAATTCCCCCATTGATAGATGATGTTCAAAAGGAATTCCCCCATTGATAGATGATGTTCAAGAAAATAGCTGGTTGGTGGTTTTCAAACATGAATGGATTATTTTTCCATTTCATTAATATGGGATGTCATCCGAAACCCATTGACTTTCACTCCATCATTTTTTAAGATGGTGAAATCCAGCACCACTATAACCAGATAGGGGATTTCCCAGCTAGCCATGGTCGTCCCTAGGACTGAGGATCCTTTGTCGGGAAAAACATGAGAAAACCACTAGAATTATGAATTAAATCCCATTGATTCAATCATCATATTTTCGTAGAAATGTGCATATATTTTCCATGGATATTTCATGAAATGTCCATATTTCCATGGAATCTAGCCTGGAATTCATTTTCGACAAGCTGACTTAGGTCCCTATAGGACCCCCTCGTTCATGACCTCCTTGGCCGAGGATGTCTATCGGCGCCTGGGCCAACTACACGAGATGGAGGTGAAAGAGTTGAAGATCAAGGTCCGTCCAACGACGCCATGTTTCTGGTTGCCGTATTTCTGGAGTAAAAAATTGGGGATGTAAAATCAACAGATTCGAAGAATTGGGATAAAACATGAATAAAACATGAATATTTCTGGAGTACTTCATGATATCTTCATGATTTTTCCTTTTTTGATATAGGGCATGAAAAATCAACAGTGCTAGTAGGCAGATACATCTGGAGAAATGGATGCTGGCGCCCGCGCAAATTCGTTTGCGAAGTTGGTCATGGTAGGTCCAACTCGGACTGAGTCGGGATTGACCAACATGGGACCGGAAATGGAAAACCGTGTTTACCCGCTGGTAAACTAACATAGCGAACTGGAAAATCACCATTCTTAATGGGTAAATCAACTATAAATGGTCATTTTCAATAATTGGTTATGTTAGTTTACCAGAGGGTATGTTGATGGTGAAGGGGTCTTGGGCCATGAAATATGGGGAAATCTGGCGATATATATGAGACACATTGAAATACTGAGGCCAAAGATCATGGCGTTGCTCAGCATTTCTAAGATTGGCTATGTTGATGGGGGCGCCACTTAGATCACTCCCCATGCGCTTCGCCAGCGTTGGATTTTTTTTTTCCTGGACATTGCACCAGTGATGTTTGGGCATTAGATACCTGAAAATCCGACGTTTCAGTGTAGTAAACACCTTGACGTTTTTGACGGTCTGATGGCTATTTAGGGAGACCCTATTCCCAGACAAAGCTACCCGGTCTTGGGAGCCGTAGTCGAGAGAAGTGTAACTTACGTGGCATCGAGAGATGATTGGCTGAAATGACTGGTCATTGTCAAGTTGATCTGGTTGGTGCTTTGGAACATGAATGGTTAATCTATGGTTAATAATGGTTAATCATTGGAATACCAATATATATCTGGTTGGTGCTTTGGAACAATGGATTATTTTTCCCATCATATTTCGGAATGGAAAATCATCCCAACTGACGAAATCACTCCATGATTTTTCAGAGGGGTAGGTTCAAACCAACCACCAACCAGTGATGATGATGGTGATAGATGGGTCAAGAATGGTCAAGATATGTCAAGATCATGGTGATGATCACGGAATCACGGTGATGTCTTATGAACGTACGCGTGTTATTTTTTGACTTGCCATATGATTGATATATATATAATTATATGCTGTTTAACCAAATAATTATATTATATTATATTATATTTATATTCTGGTTAACCATTTTTTGGAAATGCTGGTTAACCAAATAATTATCTAATGTATAGCATTATATATACCCTGCAGGATTTATAGCCCCCCAGTGATGTGAATGTTGGTTTAGAAACCATAACAAAACCTCCATTGTTGCTAGTTCGTTATATCTACCATAAACCCCATCGTTCGTGGGCGCCATCCTGTGGGATAATCGATATCTAATGTATTATTAAGTCATCTAATGTAGTATTTATGACTTAGCAATATGGACTTATGTTATCTTATCTTAGATATTGTATGTATATATATATATGGATATATGACATCCTGCAGTTATACATCTAATGTTATATTATTAGATATTATCATATATTATCATACATACATATATATATATAATCTATAACATTATACCCTAATAATCATCATTTGAATCTTGCCACTTTCGACCGTGATTGAACGCTCTGGACGCGGATGCCAGATGTCGCAGCTGATTTCTTCGGAGTCAGCATGCTCAGAGACCTTCACTGGCGAAATGGTGCCTTATGCCAACCAGCAGCAATCAACTGACTTCACGGCTGCTTGAAGCAACACGAAGACTTAGTGGGGTCTGAGGATTGACCGGAAAAAAATGTGATCTTGTTTTTTTGACAATGAAAGCAGAATAGCATCAGTCATTATTTTACTGGCCATGTTTGGCTTTTGACAATTATAATCGACGAAAATCATGATTCGCCATCAACATTGAACGGTTCCGCTCCATCGGACAAAACCACAAAAACCTCCTGAGCCACCTGAGTTTATCCCAGCCACTGAACGGCTGTTTGGCATTTTCCCAAATGGAAAATCCACTGGGAAAGCCAAAAATCAACTACTGGCACATAGGGGGGTTCCATAAATTGGGATCCCCCACTTAGCTGGTTTAGAATAGAAAATCCATCCCATATGCTCCATGTATGGTATATTTACCAACATTTGCCCTAAAAATCACCCAAATGTAGGTAAATATACCATACATGGAGCATATGGGCATCTATAAATGTATGATTTCGGGGTACCTTCTGATTTTAGGAACCACCCAGGGATGGTTCCGCCACACTTCCAGTGGATGTTTCTACAAGAAACCCCAGCTGGATGCTGGTGTGCAGCAACCAGGGAAGACATCAACGTCATTTTTCGCAGAAGGTCAAAACCTATATGGAGGTTTCCTGAGTCATGAGGGTACCCCCGGTTCACATCCATTTATAGTTGGCGTTTCCACTATAAACCATCCAGCGTTTTTGGGGTACCCCCATTTATGGAAACCTCCATATGATTGCAATTTTATTGGGGAAAACCATTAATTCACCGGCTATTTTGTTGGGTGCCCGGCGGCAAAGTGATGGTTTTGACTCATAGCCAGATAGGAAAACCCAGCCGGCTGGTTTTCCCCATAGCGTGAATGGATGATATTTTTTTAGGCCAAGGCCATGAAGCCCCAATTTTGGGATTGGATCCTTAAGGAGTTTAGTTTTGGGTGATAATCCATATTCTGTGTTTATGGAATTATGGTTAATTTGGAATTATGGATAATTTATAACTATGGTTTATGGTTAAATTTGGGTGATAATTACAAATTTTGCAAAACCAAAAATCTGATGGTTGATCGTCATTGTGTCAAAGTGGCGAACCTGTACTCTGTGACTGTCTGTGGATTACTTTCAGGATTCAGGAACTATAAGTGGCTTACCAACGTTGCGCGCTTTGGGACTTTATATATGGCGGTTTCCTAAAATGGGGGTACCCCCAAATCATCCTTTATATCGTTTTTTTCCATTATAAGCCATCTAGCTATTGGGGTACCCCCCCATTTTATGGAAATCCCCATATAACACTTTGCAAAGTGGAACATGTTCCATTTGAAAAAACAACAGTTTTGATGATTTGCTTATGAAAAAGATGCTGATTTTTTAATGGCTCGAGGAGAGCACTTGTACCTCGAGAGCTGGAAGCAAAGTCCGCTTCATTCGGCCACTTGTACTGGAGTCGGCTGGGGAGTCGGTTGGTCACCTGCTAGATCTTCGTAGCCTCCAATCGCCATTCAATCTTTGGCGAATTGACAAATTATATACAGGTTGGTGGTGACTGGAACATGAATTTTATTTTTCCATAGATTGGGAATAATAATCCCAACTGACTGATATTTTTCAGAGGGGTTGAAACCACCAACCAGTATATATACATGATACCGGTACTGTATTGATTTAAGCGTTCATTGCTTGGTTGATTTGTTTCCTTTCACCAGCCAATGTTCGGTGAGCCATGTTTAGCCATGAAATATCTGATGGGTCCATGGTCAAAGAATCTCATGAACTATCACTGATTGCAAGCCTGGGAGACTGCGGTAGACCCCACAGTTTTGACGCAGCCAGAGATCAAAGTTGGCGAAACACCTACAACCTCAAGTATAACTACATTCTATAATTACATTTACCATAAACCCAATGTGATACTAGCGATTGGAACCAACTTCGCTATCGCAAAAAAAAGGAGAGCTGGGGACTGTGAGCGTGCGCTTCTTTAGACATTGCAAGATGGTGAGCAACTTCATCTAAGTGTCAGTTGACACATGCCTCTAAGCCAAAACCCTCATACTGACGAGATGTCCATCAAATGTATGACTTAAAAAACATATTAAAGATGGTTGAAGACAAAACAAAACTAGTTCTTCACATGCGCAAGCAACACAATACATAATTGGTATTAATCGGTGACATAACTGCATAGATAAAAACCCTCGTCAAATGAGATTACCGAGATAAATTTACCGTTCAGCCGTGTGTTTTTGCAGGGGCAATATCCAAACAAAATATGAAGTATTCCTTGAAAAGTTGCACCATGCCCTTTGAAGGAGTGCAGTGTGCATTTCCAGATGTCTAACCCTCCTTTCAAAGGAGCAGTATCATCCCTTTTCGAAAAGTCAATATTTCTGCATAATATATGCAGTATTATTGACATAGAGCATCCCTTTCAAAAGTGCAACATGTTTGAAACTGTGAGCACTATTAAAGAATGCTCTTTCGCTTCTTACCACTGAACAACAGAATATTGTCCTGTATGGCAAAAAATCTTCCTGTGGAGAAGCAGCATTCTTGGAAAACCAGATTACTTTTGTTTGACATGTGTACTCTTCCCCTTGGTCAGATCAGCCCAGCCTTCATTTAGACAACTCTCACTTAAAGAAATGTTGTCAATACAATCCAACAATAATGTTTTCGTTTGATCAAATATCTCACTCATATCAAGGGGGTGTTGCACAAATTCAACAACATATTCTTCAAGGACGACCATACTCTTTCAAAAGAGTGCCACATGCATACAGTATACCATATGTTCAGACAATGTTTGATTGTCTTAGGATTTAAAGATGCACATTCTTCAAATTACAATATTTTTCAGGAGGAGAGCTGCCTACACCAAAGGATGTTATTCCCAAAATATGGTTCGTTGTCTTGGAAAATATCCCATTATGCATTCAGAAAAAATGATGTGCAATTGTGAAGGACATATTTTACGTGCTTACATGTACCATGTGTTCTTGATTTAAGAATATATATCGTGAAAAGGGCATTGCATGTGCAAGAGGGTTCATTTTTGACATAGAAGTAGACTAAGACATGACCTACTTCAATGGGATGCCCTTTTAGAAGAAATGCACTTGTTGAAGGGAGCACTCACTTCAAAGAGATGCATCACTCCTTTTCAAGGGAATCCTCAAAGTGTTTGAACATGTGTTAACTCAAGGGTTTGAGCCAACAATGTCAATCTCAAAATCAGTTCTACGATTCTACACATTAATTGGCTGCCTATGATTTTGCATTTGTTCAACACAGTTTTTGAAAAATTACATAAACATACAAAATTGCCTAATCTGTGTCCCAAGCCCCCCAAGCTTCCTCCAGTGATACCTGCATTTTGCCATGGTTTTTTACATGGTTTTCTAATGGAACCACAGGCCCAAAGCAACCAATAAAATCAACCAAAAGCAAGTTTGCAACCCCTAAAGTGGGAGAACTGGCAAAGAGTGAGGTCTAGGTCCTTCACTTTTGTGTTGTTTTGCCAGCCCTTCAAAAAACCAACAACGAACCAGAAAACAAGAAACCAAGAAACCCAGAAACCAAAAAACTAAAAAAAGCAAAAAAAACAAAACAATCCAAAATTCCTAACCCCAAGGAACCCAATCTGTGTTACTTTCATGAGTCTGTTTTTTTTTTGTGTTTCTTTCCCCTTTTCCTTTTCCCTTTGCAGCAGATTGGCATAGGCCAACAGACATGCAGCAGATAAATAATTGTTTTTCTAGATAAATTGAGGAAACCGATTGCAACATATTGCAAATTTGTGCACACTGGTGGTGCCCTGTTCTGAAAAAAGGAGGGCCCCATCCGGAAGAACTGGCCACAGATGAGGTTTCATGATGAGGTCACAATGGGGTATGGAGTTTGCCAATTGCTTATTATGAATGGTATACAACATGTTAGAACCCATATTTACGTGACCAACAAAATGTCAACCCTGGATGAATCAACCCCGTTTACGGCCGTGCAAAATTGGGAAGGTACCATAAAAAAGATTTAAAAAGTATCATTCATCATGACGTTTTTGGGGGAATACCCCCCTAGTCATAAACCATGGTTTAGCAAAATCCGGGGTTGACAGAGATTTCATGGCCCATCTGAGCAGCTCTTTGCGCCCGGGTTGCCCGGGTTCTGAGGCCCCCAGAGATGGCTCCCCCGGAATTGGCGACCGGTCCGGGTCATCCCGACTGCCACAGTGAGAACTCGCCCTCCTTGCCCGGTGTCACGCAAAGCCACTTGGGACACCTGGAGAGGATGTTACCCTTGGCCCATCGGCTAGCCCTTTTTTTTGATCCTGAACATGTGGGAAATGACGGAAGTGGATCTCCTCATCTCCTCAAAGATGATAGGAGATGATAGGTGTCCAGTTGTTGGTACGATGGTTGTGCTTGTTTTGAGAGCAAAATCCAACAGAAACTGTCTAGCTGCTGAAGTTTGATGATCTCCAAGTCTGTAACACGGGGAGGACCGTAGAAACCCTGGTTTGATAGGAGTCCCGATCAATGATCGGCTATCACAAGTATAATCATATCCTATCCACTACCCTCCAGTCAACCAATATAGCTATATATAGCTATGGAACTGGCCCATGTATGCCATGTATAGATCATTGTTCCATAGCTAATTATGTTAATTTACTAGAGGGTATCACCATGTATCACCTAGACATGAAGTTCTTGTTTTTCTCAGCTTGGTACTGGGACAGTTGGCTTCTTCAACTTAGCAAGAAGCCAACTGTCCCATCATGCCACACAGTGATGCAGGTTGCAATCCCGTGGGCTCATTTTGAAACGGTAGTGCTGTGCTCCAAAAAAACATTCAATTTTGGACGTGGACAAGCAATATGTATAGCTAGATATAATCCTTATCATCCTTGAGTATGATTATTTGTATAGATGATTTAAAAAAAATAATGGTATATCATCCAAATATCATCCAAATATGTAATCCTTATATCATCCAAATGTTCATTTGTTTTGGTGAGCTTCCCATTTCAATTTCATGGTATACCATCTGATTTTTCATGATCTACCCTCCAATCAAACCTGGCACTTGAACATCCATATATACATGATTTTCCCATTAAAAGTTCCGTTTAGTTCGGGGATTTTCCAGCCAGCCCCCCTCTCCTGAAAAACCTTAGGTTGTCACCAGTAAATCAGCATAGATTTTGCAAATATCCCATATGGGTTACTGGGAATTTTTTTTATGGGATATCATGGGATATCATGGGATATCCATATCATAATTATCATGGTATGAGTATCCCATGAAATCCCAATATTTGCAAAGTATTTTCCTAATGGACACCCATTCCTGTGACTGAAGCCTCCAAGTTTCCAGTGAGAGGTCGCAGCCGCAAGGAGAAGAAGTCATCTTCGGAGTTGCCCCGTGACTTTGCCACGCGCTGGTTTTTTTCTGGCTTTTCCATCAGGTTCTAAGGGGATTTCAGCAACAAAACAGGGGATTTGAATGGATTTAATCAACCAAAAATGGTGTGGCAATATGTCGCAATGGGGATATACTGGTATATGATGGGCATGTTTTTGGGGATATATAACAGTGATGTATCTGGAAAAATGGAGAGTGATAACCAATATTTGCGGAGTTGGTTGAAATTATCCGCCTTAACTTGTTCGATTCGGTATATCTACCAGGGATATGATGGTAGTGTAGAACCCCCAGTTGGTTGGTAGACATATCTAGCTTAAGTTGGGTGATTATAACCTAGTTGGATGGGGTTACAAACCAAGCAGGAGCTTCGCAGGAGCTTCGCAGGGCAGATCGCACCAAGAACCAGTCGTGCAGAGACGGTTTAGTGTTTGAAGTTCGTAGAAAGCGTCCACGTTTTCTCACAACAAGGTGGTCTTACAATGTTTTAAGTAGTTCGCAAAACCCATCGAAACATCCTGCACTTTGTTTAAACGGGAAAACATTTGCAGCATATCTGGTTGGTGGTTTGGAACATTTTTTATTTTCCATAATATATGGGATAATTCTTCCCATTGACGAACTTATATTTTTCAAGATGGTTATTGCATTGCACCACCAACCAGATATTGAATTTGGGCACGGTTGCGAATCCCCAAACATAGTGACATAGTTGACCTTCGCAACTTTGATGTCTCTTTTGATAATAGTAGAATCATAGGAGTCAAATGTTCAGTCAATTTAGGACCCACCAAAAAAAATGAGGACCAGGTGTCATATACTCTGATTGGTGGTTTGGAACATGAATTTTATAATATTTTATGACTTTCCATTCAGTTGGGAATGAACATCATCCCAACTGACTTGATTCGTCCATGATTTTTCAGAGGGGTAGGCGTACCAACCACCAACCAGACATATAATGTTATAATAACCATCCATTCACCATCCATTAACCACCATTAACCATTGTAAACATGTCCGGATGTTTTTCTTGGACACCAACGTTGATTCAGTCCTCGGCATGCTTCGACGGATCCCCCGTCAGGTGTGTTGCACGAGGTGCGGGGCCCCGATGAACCCAGATCCATTGGAACTGGGAGAATTCCGTGCATTCTCCCAGAATGTCGCGACATAGAAATAGTGGATTTTCCGAATTTCCCATGAAAAATGGTGATGTTCTATGTTAATTTACTGGAGGGTAGTGGATTTACCCATGAAAAATGGTGTTTTTCTATTGTTTTTTTGTATATTTACTAGAGATGTACGAGAATTGTTGGCAGTCATCACCGACTCATCGATGGAACTTGTGCGGCAGGACACGCTACGGAGTCTGGAAGGCCAAAGCAGCTACAACGTGAGGAAGATTTGGACCGAGAAAGTGGCTGGGCAAACATTCTCCACGTTTAGGAAATTTAATAAGGGTCAACAATGAAAATTATATTGTGAACTAGGATGAATTGTCTGAATATATATATATATATACATATATATATATATATATATATATATCGGGGATGCTCCCCATTAGAGCTGAGCTAAGCTAAATGATACATACTTTTGGGGAGGAACTCAGTCATTTTACACCTCCAAATAGACTCAAAATCTATCCCTCAGCTGAAATCTGGGGTGGGAGCAGCCCTCATGGGAGATAAAATGGGACTGGGACGGGGTAAACGTTGGATCTATCCAGATAAGATGAAGCAAAATAAGGAGACGGGCGACGCGTTTTCAGGTCTTTCACCCACCTCTCAGGTTGGACATGTTTGTCCAAGAATGGAGTACCCTCTGGTAATTAGTTTGCTATTGAACATGGCCCATTTACAGTTGATTTACCTATTAAAGATGGTGGATCTTTCCATGGCAAACTGTTGGTTACCAGAGGGTCCCCCCCTGCCGTTGAGGGTGACGACTCGCTTGAAGCCCGGCAGCAATGGTGCGGAAGTTGCCGGGAAGTGGTATCCGGGAACCCGACACCGAAAAGCCGAAAAACACTCGGGGGGGGTTCAATGGGGAAATCCACAAGGGGAAGTGTCTAGCTGGGAAAATCCATGATGTCATGGAGTCACGGCGGTTTAAATGATTGAACTTCCTGGATTTAAAGCTGAGTCGATGGTTTTATTAGTTTCCCTATGGGCAATGCGCTTTGGGGAAGCGATTTGGGGGAGTTTTGCCTTGTTTTCCGGGGGGTTCCTGGATCGCAATCCAAGAATTGGGCTTATCCCGGCCGGCACCACAGTACCAGGAAGGACAGGTGACACGGCCGAATTCCATGGGGAATGTCCCTGAAAAGTGTCTAGATTCTAGATCACTGAAGAGTGCATGATACTATATGCTGATTGGTGGTTTGGAACATGAATTCTTTTTTTCCATTCAGTTGGGAATGTCATCATGCCAACTGACTTTAAGTCCGTGATTTTTCAGAGGGGTAGGCTATGTTAAATTACCAGAGGGTATATTGGTTGTTAGCACAATCCATAACATGGGAATCCCCTTTAGCCAACCATTATATTGTAAGGGATGTTTGGTTTCTGACATTGCTCAGAGGTGTCATAATGTGATTTGATGGATTTTTTGGGTGAAAACAGGTCCAGTAGCAGGACCAGGCCTTGTAAGTCCTGTAGCACTGTAGCTGCGAGAATCAGCTTCCACCTGATCATCATTTTTCTCATCGGCGCCTAGACTTCCATAGAATTCCTACTTCCCGGAGGATCTAAGGCATTGAATTGAACCGTTTAACGGATGGTGTTTTCAGGCTACCCTGCAGGCTGTCGAATGTGATTGGAACTTCTTGGGACGGGCTTGGACAATCCCATCGTCAGAGGATTCGATGTTTTAAGAGTGACTCGGGGGTTTTCTATGAGATAGGTATCCTGGTTGGTGGTGACTGGAACATGAAGTTGATGTTCCATAATTTCTTTCGGATCTTTAATATGTTTCAATATGGTTAAAACATGTTAAAACCACCAAGCAGTATCTAGATAGCATGTGTTGATCTATGTTGATCTTCATTCCCATTTATGCGATTCTACATGTTTTATAAGTGGCAACAAAGTGGCCACGAAGTGATCGAGATTTTCAGCACGCTGCAGGCCCTGCAGCATGATGAAATGGGTGACTCCCTGGGGTTCCCAGACCCAGATGCTCCATGGTGCTGGTATATTTACCTACATGACTGGGTGATTTTTGGGGTAAATGTAGGGATTCATATTCCAGCACCATGGGTTGCATATGGGAGAATAGCATCCACTTCCGGCACTTCGTTGATGATTTTTTTTCGCCATGGTTTCCAAAATCATATTGAAAGTTCACAGGTGAACTTCCATGAACTTCCCCGCAATTTTGCTTCCGAAGTCATCCCGTGGTTGTGGACTCCCAACGGGTCGCCAACGGGTCCAGATCCTCAGGGGGAGCTGACCCCGTCCGGCCTGACTCGTCGGAGCAGTTGCACCCTACCCACAGACACTTGGCGGAGCAGCCAGCAGGTTGGGGATCGTTTTATGGTGGGTTTAATGGTGGGTTTACAACATTTTATAACTAGCGGAACTATGATTTATATAATGGTCTAAGTTGAACTTGTTTGGGTCTAGTTTACTGACTGAACTTGTTGATGGTGGGTTTATAAATTGGGGTTTCCATAATTGGTGGTACTCCAAAATGGATGTTTGTTTTCTTTGACAAAAAATACTTCGAGTGATCCCCACCATGGCATTTCAAGGCATATATTCTGACATGTATTTTGACATATATTCTGACATTCGACCGAACATTCTATCTGACATCTATTCCGACATTAAGTCTTTCTGGCATTAATTATTTGGCATCTATTCTGACATTCTATCTGGCATTCTCCCTGACATTCTCTTCTGGCATTCTCTCTGTTCGGGCGCAAGCGCAGCCCACTGCGATCGGAACTCGCGCAGGCGCAGCCCACAGTGTCCGGAGCTCGCGATATGAGATTCGGCGACGAGCTTGCACAGAAGTGGACAAGAGAAGCCAAGGGAAGGGGAGGAGTTCCGTGCTCTGGTGCAGACCCCCACGACGGGTCCGGCGGGGAACACTCTGATCCGGAGCTCGCGGTGCTTGCGGAAGGTCCGGCGGGGAACACTCTGATCCGCAGCTTGCGGTGGAGGCCCGGCGGGGATCACTCTGATCCAGAGGTTGCTGTTCGGATCCGGCGGGGAACACTGCGATCTAGAGCTTGCAGCGGGGGAGGAAGGAGGAAGGAGGAAGGACGAGGAAGGCGGGCCAGCCGGGTTAGGTGGGCCAGCTGACAAAAAAATTAACAACCCTCACCTGACAGGTGGGGAACTATCAAATTGGATGATTTAGGGGTACCCCGATTTTAGGGAACCCCCAAGTAGGCAACTATACTATGGTCTAAATTGATTTGGTGTACTATGGTCTAAGAGCCGTAGGCCCGAGTCTTACCAGTAGTGCGGCTGTGTCAGCGGAACCTCGGGAGCTTGTCGCAACGCCATGGACAATCTTCTTTGTGGACCTCCTGGTCTTACTATTTCTGATTCTACCCGTGCCCGTGTGGCTTCCCGCCTCAGTGGTGGGATTTGCGGTTGGATTGGGATGATTGGCAGATGCCTCCGTGGCAATCTCAAGGAGTTGTTTCCACTAGCGATGATGCCTGGTGTGGATGGATTTCGGGCGGAGATCCAGCTGACATGGGACGAATTTTCTAGGATGAGACACAGTTTGATTGACCCGCTGCACTTTTTGCTATTCACTCTGTTCGGTGCCGGCTTGCTTCCGCTACCAGCGGCAAACTGCCAGTCCTTGCTGAGTTTGGAAGCTCACATCTTTACAAATCGGCACTTGCAGTCCTGGAGTTGTTTTCCTGTTGGCTTGCATCACTTGCTTCTTGTTCGTTGTGGACTCTTAGCAACCTTCAGTGGCAAAAGGCGAAGGGGCTTTGAAACTAACATTTCGGGATGCGGCAGGCTGCTTGGGAGATCGTGCTACAGATAGATGGCTTGGCTCCGGGCAAACTTTCCAATCCCAAACGAGAACAAGGAGTAAAGATGTGCTTGTGACTTCTGGTGTGGCTCAGGGCATAAAGCAAAGATGCAACGTTGCGCGGTGACTCAATGGCCCACCCTCTGTCTGCTTCTTGCCAAAAGTTTGATCGGTTTGAATCCAATGGCTGCCTTTTTTCTATGTGCCGGGCATGCACAAAATGTCAGGTACTTGCAGAGACGGATTTGCAGGTGATCGGTTTCTGTTTTGATTTTGTTGGTCCAGTGTCTAGTGAACAACCCTAGCACACTGTATTGATCCTGTCCATGGCATACACTGTCTGAACAGATGGCACAATCTGTTGTCAAAGTTAATGTTCCCGCGTTTAGCGGACCTTGTCGGAAGTTAGGTGGAGGTAATCTTCTCCACCTGTCTGGTGATGTCTGCTTCGCCGGCCTTTGGCCTTGTTTTAGCCAATTCGGTTCTGACCATCTGCGTCCGAGCCAATTGACGTGGAGACCCCTCCACAGCGCGCAACAACATATACTATGGTTTAAGGAGGTGTGGTAGATCGCAGTGATGAGCGGAAGTTCAATGGGGTGAAACTAAACCAACAAACATAACCAACAATTGGATTCGATTGGCAATGGTGATGTGACTAACACTTCGAATGGATTGTTTTGTGGTGGTTATGGGCTGGGGATATTTTGTATAATCACTATGGGACACTTGGGATTTGGAAATTTTCGCGAAAGATTGCAATGTGGAGTAAAAAAACCGACAAGTTTATGGAGATATAGTCGGATAAAATGGCTTAAAACTTTCAGTTTTGTTCCATGATTCATCTCTGGAGTTCATCCCGGATGTTCTATTTGGATCAATTTGGTCGATGAACTTAATACACCCCACCGAAGATTTGGTGATTGAACACTTGTTGTATAGCCACCCTGAAATAAATGTAAATTGATATAAATATTAGGAACCTAAATTGGAGGTACCTACCACATATAAGACCTTTTTTTCAGGGCTATGTATGAGAGTGCCCCTTATATGGATCACTAGCTCCAGCATATTATCATATCCCATATGCTCCATGTATGGTATATTTACCTACATGACTGGGCGATTTTTAGGGCAAATGTTAGTAAATATTCCATACATGGAACATATGGGTATTATCATATTGTCGTCATATCATAATATCATGTTCTCATATTATCATATTATCCTGTTATCATAGTATCATATTATCATATCATCTACAGTATCCTGATGTTTGTTTCCATGTTGTTGTTTCGGTTTGCCACCTTCACTGTAGTTTCAACTATCAACAGGCGCACTCCGAGATGCCCATCCTTTGCATCAGGAAACACCCAAGGGCTGTGAAAAACGCCTGTTTCAACTGACTGCCAGACGTTGGTTAAACCACCATGACTGCAGATCATTTCCCAAACGGGAAACCATTGGTAGTTGTCCACCCTTTTTTAGATGTTTGCCACAGTTATGGCCATTTACCAGTGATAGCTGGTTATAAATGGGATTATACATTCTATAAATGGGGTTATAAGTACTTATAACTGATAAATGACCATAACTGCAGAGGGTCAAGTGATCCCGACACCGAAAAATGGTGTGGTTTGTAATGTTCATCAACCGACCTTTTGGTAATGACTAAACGTACGTTTTACGTGGAACAGTATAGTGTTTAATAGGTAGATATGGGAGGATATAGGCACATCATCCATAAATGGACCATGTTCATCCATTTTCATCCATTTTCCACATATACTGTTGAAATTACCCTCTGGTTATTTGTTACATAGCCATGGTGTAGATGGCCCATAGAAATAGATGGTTTACCTAACTTAAAAATGGAGATGGTATAGATGGCCCGTAGAAATAGATGGTTTACCGTTCTTAAAGATGGTGGATCTTTCCATGGCAAACTGTTAGTCATAACCAGATGGTACCGGATGTGAAAAACATGAGATTCTCCGGATGGGTTCCCGCGCCCAGGTGACATCCTTCAAGGATGATACCCTCCAGACGCTCGGCCGACCCCAATGGCTCCAACGTTTTCCAACCTGGTTGGTGGTGACTGGAACATGAATGTCTATGAAAATATGGGTTATTAATTGTTATTAATGGTTAACGATGGTTAATGATGGTTAATGATGGTTAATTATAGGTAACTATATATTCAATATATACCATATCTGGTTGGTGTTTTGGAACAATGGATTAGTTTTCCCATCATATTGGGAATGTCATCATCCCAACTGACTTTAAGCCCATGATTTTTCAGAGGGGTAGGTTCAAACCACCAACAATTCAACGTGTTTTCCATATTTTTCATGGCAACAAAAAGTGGGAAAATCCGGCAATGTGATGAAGAAACCGGCAGCCACTGGGGGGTTTCTGAAGTGATGGTGGATCCCAAGTCACCCGTTTCAATGCTGGCTCTAATTTCCTTGATTTGGGGTACCCCCATGACTTAGGAAAACCCCCATTGAATTCCATATCTGGTTGGTGGTTTGGAACATTGTTTTTTTATTTCATATATGGGATGTCATCCTTCCTATTGACGAACTCATATGTTTCAAGATGGTTATTGCACCACCAACCAGACATATATATATATATATTATATATATATATTAAGTGGATTATAATCCCATTCCATTCCATTGAAATCCCATTAAAATCCCATTAAAATCCCATACTGATAATCTAATGGGGGTGTATTCACCACTATTTTTATGGTGATTTCATGGAGATTTAACTGATTTAACCACTATTTTTATGGTGATTTTTCGTGAAGATTTACCCTCTGATTATCTAATGGGGTCGTCCAATGGGATTTTAATGGAATGGAATCGGATTATAATCCACTTTTTATGGGATATACCCTCTGGTAATTGGTTACAGGTTGCTATTGAAGCCATGGCCCATTTATAGTTGATTTACCGTTCTTACAGATGGTGGATCTTTCCAGTTCGCAAACTGTTTTCACGTGTACCAGAGGGTAGATGGGATTTAACCACTATTTTGATGGTGATTTTTCGTGAAGATTTACCCTCTGATTATCTAATGGGGTCGTCCAATGGGATTTTAATGGAATGGAATCGGATTATAATCCACTTTTTATGGGATATACCCTCTGGTAATTGGTTACAGATTGCTATTGAAGCCATGGCCCATTTATAGTTGATTTACCGTTCTTACAGATGGTGGATCTTTCCAGTTCGCAAACTGTTTTCACGTGTACCAGAGGGTAGATGGGATTTAACCACTATTTTTATGGTGATTTACCCTCTGGTAAACTAACATAACTATGGAAAATCACCATTTTTAATGGGAAAATCCACTATATATGGCCATTTTCAATAGCTATTTTGACATAACCAGAGGGTACCCTCTGATCATCTAATGGGGTCGTCCAATGGGAATCGCTCGATTTACCCCGTGACTTTCAGGCGTCCGGAGTGGCTCCGCTATTTGCTCTCGATGTTGCAGCATCCCGCGTCGCGCTTTCGCGTCTGGTGGGGACCCTTGGGGATGATCTTGTTGGCCTATGACGTGCCTTGGTGGCCGCCAAGGCCATGATGGATGTTTTTGTTTGATAGGAAACCTCCGAAAATAGATAGAAACATCGTAATTTTACGATCACTATATATAAATAATATATTAGACTATATACATCACTTTTTTAGATTCGGATTTTACTTTTCTATTTCTTATAGTTACTATAGATATTCGGATGTGGTGTAGCCTTTGACAATGTGGTCTGACTTCGCCTTGACATGTTCATTCCATTGACAATTGACGTTAAGTATCCTTAAATGATTGTTGTTGTTGTTGTTGGCAGGTTTGAAGTTCAATCATATTAATATGATATTTTCATAGGAGTCCTGGAAATATCTTATTTCAGAAACATCATCTAACATCTAATATATATATGATATGATATGATTGATATATATATGATTATATATGATATATTATATATAGGAGTCCTATAAATCTATAAAGACCACAATTCATAGTAACATCGAGGAACAAAAACTCATCACTCATCATATTCCAAGCCACGAGTCGTCAGACGAGTCGTCAGGTGATCACCATCCCCCTACGCTTCTTTGGTTTGGAGGAATCCTTGGCTATGACTGTGATCTCCTGGATCGCCAGGCCGGGGTAATTTTTGGGGCTTTGGGCCTAGTGCTGAAGATCCATGGGATTTTTTGTTGTGAACATATCGAAACATGACGGGTGCCAAGTATGAAAATTGATACTAGATATGTATACTGACTAATCTGACTATTGATACTGCATTTTTTGATACTACCCTCTGCTAAATAAACATAGACCCTGAAAATAACCATTTTTTTAATGGAAACTAATCTTCCAACCCCTATCTGGCAGGGTCTATGTTAATTTACTGGAGGGTAATATGTATACTTGGGTGTATAGATGTCATATGAGTATTGTAACTATAGTAACTTTGTTGGTTGTACCGTGGTTTTATTGGGATGTAAGAAGATAATCACGGATCATGTCAGTAAAGCAAGGTCATAAACCACCCATATGGGTTGATGATGTTGATGGCTGACGCAAACCATAAACACCCCTGGGGTAAACCTTTACATAGATATGAAACAAAAAAAATGTTTCCCGAACTCAGAAAATTGTTTGATTTTCCACATGCCAAAGTTTACCTCAGGGTAGTTCAAATATCCTATATCATATACCTGAATATGGATCCTTCTGAGGAAGTATCTAGATCCAGATTTGGAGGTTACTCTAGGGAAAACTAGCATAGATGTGACATAGATGTCGAAAAAACGCTTTTTAGAGTAGGTCACTTTCCGTACGGGAAACCGTAGGTAAAAAAACAGACCCATGCATGTTTACCCACTATATATATATACTATCTATTACAGTTCAGCAAGTAGTGACAACGCACTGGTGATAATAGATAGTAAATGCTGTATTCATCTGAACTTGATCGAATTAAGCACTTCGTTAGAGTGGAGGAACATCGTCTCTAGAAAGAAACAAACTCGTTTGCAGGGTATCCATTGTCAGGAGGCAACGGTGAATAGGCTTGTGACTCTTGTATCGACTATAGACTCTTCATCATAAATTTGGGTTTGCGAATTCTAAAACAAGGAGAAAACAGGTCAGACTGTGTAACCAGCGCGATTCAAAACAAAACAATTCTGGATTCCTTCCGTGTACTGTATATCTAGGAGTGATTCTGTCCTGCCTTAACGCCACATTCGAGTCGACTTTGAGCCATACCTTCGTGTGCTAAAACATGCCAATCAAACATTCCTTGTTTCTAGATTTTTCCTGCGAAACATGAAATACAAGTACCCCCACAAAGCATTGTTTCGATTACCCTCTGTGTACACCCATGGTTCTCTTGCTGGTTTTACCTTAATCTCTATCAACGGAGATATAGTAATCTAGACATGTTTCCTGGTTGGTGGTTTGGAACATGAATTCTATTTTTCCATTCAGTTGGGAATCATCATCCCAACTGACTCTAACTCCATCATTTTTCAGAGGAGTAGGTATACCACCAAGCAGTTTCTTTTTCCTAAGCATATTGACCCATAGTTTTCATTCAAATCCCAATCAATCCTCATGAATTCACCATTGATCCACCAGCTCGATGCCCAGGCTCTACTGGAGCCTGGACATTCTGTTCTCCTTCACCACGGGTTTCTATGATGCGGGCTTGTTGGTGCTGGATCTCCGGCGAACGAGTATGAACTATTTGAAACTGGGCACCAATGGGCACCAATTTCGCGTAGTGATGCGGACGGACAAACATGGGTATGGGTCAATACCTATTGATACCATTTTTAGTGGGATGAACATCCATTTACCAGCTATTTTGATGTTCACCAGGGGTACAAGGTTTTGACACACTGCCACATGTGGATGTTCACAGTTCTTTCTTTTTGATACCCTCTGGTAAATGTTTTACATAGCGAACTGGAAAGATCCACCATTTTTAATGGGTAAATCCACTCTTTCTATGGCCATGTTCAATAGCGATGTTAGTTTACCAGAGGGTAGGGACTGAATGCGGAAGATGTGGATGTGGATGTTGATGTTTTTGAAGTAGGGGCCTGAAATGACTTGACATGAACCAACTAATTACACTGGTGGTACAATGGGGATATATCTGGACAAATGGGTGATGTTGCAGCCTTGCCCCATAGTTAGCTAAGTTGGTTTAGTTCATTAAGTCCTGGCTTTTTGATGATTTGTTACAAGCGTGGGTTTCTAATTGAAATATACTGAAATTCTCTGTAAATGCTGGGTTTTCCAATGTTTTTACCTATCCCATATGCTCCATGTATAGTATATTTACATTACCTACATGACTGGGTCATTTATGGGGTAAATGTTGGTGTGCATATTCCAGCACCATGGAGCGGGACTGTATACAAAGTGGATCTAAATATATCTGAATCGTACATTTATAGATGGATTTTCCATGGATTTTCCATGACATAAACCAACCATAACCAACCTATGTCAATCTATGTCATGCCGCGCGCTTCAAACGGCAGATTTTGTGACGTGGCCCCAGCAGACGATGATATGATCGGAATGTGGAGATCGGATGTGCAAAAAGCCAGAGTCCGTGGCAATTTAAATGTTTAAAATTTCTTAAACGGAATTTGAAATGGTACCATTAGTATCATTAATAGAATCTGAAATGGTATGAAATGGTATCATTTACCATTTTGTTACTAAAAAACATTGACTATTGAATAATCTTTTTTGTTATGGGGATGTCAAAAGATGTCAATGAAAGACGGAGAAGCAATTGGTCATAATTGGTGAAACATAGTCAAACATGTTCAGTCATGTGAACATCAATGAAAGAAGATAAACAAGGAAAGACATGGCACAACTAACTTGAATTACCCTCTGGTAAACATACAAAAGTCTATGGAACATCACCATTTTTTAATAGGTAAATCAACTATTTTGACTGGGCCATTTTCAATAGCACACTGTAACAAATTACCAGAGGGTATATCCATTTCCATCCATTTCCATCCCATGAACTATGGAAAGCCACCATGCTATCAATGGTTAAATCCACTATAAATCACCATTTGTTAGTTTACCAGAGGGTAGATCCCATTAAGTGGATGAAACAATCTCATTATATGCCATTAAATCACCATTAAAAACCCATTAAATTGTTATTTTTTGCCATTAAATCACCGTTAAAACACCGTGTTTTGCTGAAAAGTCGTCAGCCTCGTGTCCCTCTCGCGATGTCAAAAGCGTCCAGGAAGGGATGGTTCGTCTTTGATCTCTTGGTGGTTTGTTTGGACTGGGCACCTCGCCGTGATCCGCAAAAAAAACACGGGGAAGATGGTAAAGAACGTTTTTTTTGGGTGGGAAGTGACTAGATAATATAATACTACATAGTATACAGATATATATATATATACATAATATGTATATATATATATATTATATAATTATATATATATTATATAATTATATATATATGATATGATATATGCTATTAATTCACAAATTCACGTACAAGAAAATCCATGGATTCGATATATCTGTATCAATACATTGAGAGGTCAGGATTGACACCTCACAACATATGGTGCCATCAGCTATCAGGCTCCACGGGGTCCACAGTTTCGAAAAATCATTCCGGTTCCGGGCCAATTCTCTGTCTCCGCTATGTTCGTCCACTTTGCATACAGTCCCATATGCTCCATGTACCGAATATTTACATGATATTTACCAACATTTGCCCGAACAAAAGAATTAAAAAGCACCCAGTTTTGTAGGTAAACATGCCAGCACCATGGGTGCATATGGGAGTATGTAGATGTTGTTTTCCATTTCCACCGCGGTTTCTGTTCTGCCAAGCACCGAGGTTCTGTTAATCTGGGAGGATTTCATCTGGGAGGATTTCAATTCCAACACGGAAGGTCTGCCCAGGTTGTCCAAGACCATGAGAATTACCAGGCACCGGGCACCGTGTACCATGCGATGGCAAGCCATGTAGAAAATGGAGATCCTTCGGAGGCAAACTTGGAGTGTAAACATCTGGTTATTTAACATAGTCATGGTATAGATGGCCCATTTATAGAGGAAGCCATGGCCCATAGAAATAGATGGTTTACCGAACTTAAAAATGGTGATTTTCCATGGCTATGTTAAATAACCAGATGGTAAACATCAACCTCCTCCAAAAAAAACGGCCTGATGGCATAATCTCCAAAGATCAGTCACAAAGGCAGAGAATGGATGAAAATGGAACGTTGTAACCTTTGCTGGACGAGGGAATCTTCCAGACGGATAGTTGTAATTCCAATGCCAGTGATATTCATCATTATCATCATCCTCATCCTCATCCTCATCCTCCTCCTAATCTTCCTCCTGATCCTCATCCTCATCCTCCTCCTCCTCGGCGGCGTCGTCGTCGTCGCCATCGTCATTGTCACATTCTCCGGCCATGGTCTTCTGCTGGGTTGGGCCCGTTGGGCCGACGACAATTTGGGGCAGTCGGGCAGTCCTGCTGTATGAGGTTCTTGGAAGGGGATCTTGTAGGGATCCTGTGGAGATCCTCGAAGGTTCTTGATTTTGTAGAAGTCCTTGCGAGGAGATCTTGTCGATATCCTAGTGAAATCCTTTGTTGTAGAGGTGTTTGGTGGATATCCTAGTGAAATCCTTTGTTGTAGAGGTGTTTGTGAGGAGATCTTGCGCACATCCTGCTGGAATCCTCTAAAAGATTTTTGCGCGAAGATCTAGAAGGTGCTTGTATGAAAGTTTGCAAGGGAAGCCTTCAAGAGGTTCTTGTACAAAGATCTTGTCAGATCCCCTCTATCAGGTCCTTCTTTGACGACTGTGTGAAATTCTCATTGAGGTCCTGGCTTGAGGTCCTGGAGTTTTTGTTCACAGATGTTTTCCTCAACGCTGTTAGGGCCTTTTTGCCGGGGATGATTGTCTCTATTTTGTGGCCGCTGTCTAGGAAAGAATCGCAGAATCTGCAAACGGCACCGCTTGACAAATCATACCCCGAGTGGATCCGAAGGATTTTGTTTCACCGGTTGGTAGTCAACAGCTGGTGCCGAACTAATCAACATCTGGTGGAATAATATCTGTAACCAAATGAAGAACAGAAAGCATGTGCATTAGTTTTATTTAGCCATGGATGACTGAAGCAGGAAAGCGACGAAAATTGGAAACATGATCCCAATGGCGTGCTGGGACCATACATTTTTTTCATCTACAACCAGATGTAATTAGGTATAAGATATACATAAAGAACAATCACTCAATAAATAAATATTTATGTGTGTATACGCATTAGAAAGATACAAGATTCATACATTTATGTATATATACATATGTTGAAATAGGGCTAATGCCTGGGTTTAGCCTGGCAGGGCAACGACGATGGGCAACAAAGCGTCATCATCATCATCATCATCCTCCTCCCTTGTTGATCTTTCCAGTCGAAAGCAAAGGCAAATGAGAGTGGGATTTTTATATTCCTAATACCTGTGGTGATCTTCCCACTTGAATCTAAAAGTTCAAGCAGGGTGGGCAATTATGTTTCTAAGGGCGCTTTTATTCCAAATACCTATCGGTTATCTTCCTAATTGAATATAAAACTCACAGGCGGGGAACTTATATGCCAAATAATTACCCTTGTTGATTTGCCTGCTTGAATGTAAAGTTGAACAGAGATGTGATTCTATATTCCGAATACCTTTGTTGATTTTCCCCATTGAATATTAAGTTAGGCGGGGTGAGAATCTATATTCCCAGTACCGTTGTTGATCTTCCCACTTGAATGTAAAGTGTAACGCCAGCACCAGAAGGGATGATGGGTTCATTCAGCGCCACGGCCTCTCGAGCCCGTCGAGCCCATTGAGCCCGTTGGGCCCGTTGGGCCCGTCGGGCCCGTGTAGCCCGTGAAGCAGGCCCGTTGGGGCCCGTTGAAGCCCGAACCTAGGAAAGGACTATTCTCCATTCTTCATCATACCATTGCTCTCATTATTCATATGTAGCTAAATGAAACAAATGCATACTGTAACAGTAATGAATCATATATGAATATCAGTTTATTATGACCGCAAATATAGCCATCATCATCGACAATAAATTATTACACGTTAAATATTGACCATAAGTTAAAAAAGAAAAACAATTGGTTTGTGTATTTCATCTTCGGCAATATCATGTAATATCTACCAATGAAAGATGAACATATCATATTTCATGTATATGCTACTATATACTATTTATATATATATATTTATTAATTTATTTATACATATTGATGATCAACAACCATAAACAAGAAAAAACAACGTATAAAACAACGGAAACATCTGTAGCACATCCGCAGTGCACCTTGGCAGGCTGTTTCGATTAGTGCGCTTGGGGCGCCTATTGAAGGTGGGTGCTATCACCGAGAACTTCCAGGCCCGATCATTTTCCCAAAAAGAAACCATTGGTGGAAGACCACATGGCAATTTACCCCAGTGTAATGTATATATATATATACATATATATATACATAATTATATTTAAAATTATTCATTACAATATATATATATATATGTAAAAATAAGATGTGTATATTTATACATACTTTGTATATATATATATTTATTTATGCATACTTTATATATATATATATATGTATAATTATATATAATATTATAATATGTCGATGAAATGATTTCTATTTGTTTTTTGAGGCTTATAATTTTCTTAGGGAAATGGTACCATTTCAGTGCTGATCAGTGCTGTGTACGTTTTCCGTGCTGTGCAGTAGGCTAATGCCCCCAAACGCTGTCTTTGTTGTTTAAAACCCGATCTAGCATAGTTATTTCATCATAAACCATCAGCCCAACAGTCAATCTAATTAATGTCAACCTTGGATTAATAAACCCCAAACGGCTGTTTCATTGGAAGGGTACCATTTAAGTATTAGATTATAACTACTATTGGAGGAGTACCACCCCAATTAATAAACCATGGTTTTAATTAATCCGGGGTTGACATTACATAAAGCAACTTAGACACACCACTGGACCTTCCACCACCTTGCAGGGATTTTTGGCCGTTGTGATTCCGAGCCCCATCTCTGAAAGGGGTGGATTTCATTGGGGTCCTCAGAACCGAACGAAGCTTCTCCCCGAAATTTCAGGTATTGAAACGGGCTAAACATCAGTTGAAAATTCGACAATTTGCTGATAAAATGGATTGATATCCGATATCCTGAACATACATGACTGGTTGGTGGTTTGGACCATGAATTTTATTTTTACATATTTAGGGAATTTCATCATCCCAACTGACTTTCACTCCATGATTTTTAAGAGGGGTTGGTGGCTCAACCACCAACCAGTGAAAATACATAATGTCTGAAGAAGTACTCATCCTAAAAAGAAGACAAAAAACTGTATCCAGCTACCGAAATTCTGAAAATGGCCAGGAACAGATCAGTTCTGAATCCGTGCCCTGGCCGAGCGGGGAATCTGCGGGATTTTTCAGACTGATTCTAGGCCCTTGAAATCCATGAAATCCATGAAGTTATGGATTCCAGATTCTAGTCCCTGATGGCTAATCTATATAATGTATTATAATATATTATAATTTAGCTTTTTTTAAAGCCTCGTAAACAATGGTTTTATAGCTCCAAGAGACGCGGTGAACTTAGGGGGTACGAGTGGCTAACGGACGTGGTGACGAACGTAAGGCGAACGAGTGAACGGACGAGTGCACGTGTGAGCGAACGAGTGAACGGACGTGTGCGTACAAGTGGACGGACGTGTGCGCGTACGTGCGTGCGTTTGCACGTTCACTAGCCGCGCGCGTACGCACGTACGAAAATAAGGTCGACTGGAGTCGACCTTAATCGACCTTATTTCTGCACGTGCGAAGTGCTACAATACTAAATCAATACTAAAATGGTAAAGAAAGGCAGGGTCGTGCAAAAATAAGGTCGACTTGCGTACGTGCGCGCGCGCGTGGCGAGTGACCGTGCAAACGCACGGACGTACGCTCACACTTTCGCTCGCACGTACGCTCACTCGTACATACATACGTTCGCACGTACGTTCACTCGCACGCATGTCGTTCACACACACGTTCATACCCCCGTTCATGTCACTCGTCACTACTAGTCTACAGTGAGGTGCCTCCCTAGTTATAGGACATGCAACTGAGATGCTCTATTTAAATCATCCCTAAGCGGTGTTCAAAAATAAAATCATAGGGCTTGAGACTGAAATATTTTTGGATTTATTTCTCAAAAGGTGCCTATCATAAGTTTTGAGCAAGTCAGACCCCTATGATTTTATTTTTGGGACATGGGCCAAGACCAAGAACCAACCCCAATGCAGCTGGTGAAGTAGCTTTAGGTTGGGTCCGTTTGGTTTTATTTTTGCGTTTTGCTTACCTTTTTGTTTTGTTGGAACATGTTGGAACACACCTCTTGTGTTGGAATTGGTGGGCAAGACATGATGAAAACAATGGCTATCATGCTTCAGATTTTGTGCATCTTGCGTAGATTCTTCCAGCAGATAGCACCCCTGGAATTGAAGCATCCCAAACAGAAAAGGAAAACCATCGAAAACATCACATCTCACCAATTACAACAAGTGGGGGTTATTCAGTGCACCAAACATACCAAACATGAATACCAGTTTTGTCCAACCCTGGAATTGTACTCAGTAATGTAAAGCTTTGCGCCCCTGGAATTTATTTCTGGAACCTCTTGATTTTATTTTTGCAAACCCCTCAGTTGGATGACTGATGATTTTCTCTTTGCGCAACATGTGGGGTTGAACTCCCTTGATTTCCTTTTTGCATTTTGGGGGTCAGTAGCCTGGGTGCCCTTGATTTCATTTTATTTTTCAGGGGTTCAACCCCATCTGGGTGCACCACAAGGGGGTCTTAAATCTTAGTTGCCGAACTTTTCCGCGCCTTGACTTGCATGAATTTGTAAGTAACTTGCAAGTTTTGCAAGTTCGAAAGCTGAAAACATATTTTTTTTCATACTTTTCTTGTTTTGCCGAGCGAAATTTTCTATTTTTTGCGACATGGGTTCCAGTGAGAAACATCTGCACAATGAGTGTCTGAGAAGCGCCATATGCTTTTTGTTTTGGGAGATCACGCGGACAACACGCAGTGAACCCCTGCGAAGCATCAGCACAGCGGATCCTTCAAAGAGCCACCACGTTGGCAACTCAAGTCTGACCTGTTGGAGGCACGCTGCCTCTTTCATACCAGTCCTGACAAATTTTCTTTTCCAAAAACCGAGATCAAGGTTATACCAAGATATACCAGGATATACCTGGTTAATGTTGGCTGCCTAATAATAAATACCCCCCCCCTAAATTTTATTTTTTTAAAAAATATTTTAGGGGGGGGGGTCAACCTTCCTATAATAATCTTTCTGGATGGATTTGAAAAGGATTTGCTTTGCTTTGCTTTTAAATTTAATTCTGAAAACAAAACAAGGGGAACACAAATTGGAATTCATTATTGCCATGCCGGGGGCAGGTTTATTATTGCACGCCTGGGGCTTGCAAAGGGGGTACCCTTTGTGGACCTGTTTTCTTCAATTTTTGAATAAGAGTTTAATAAGGAAATCGCCTGTTTTGGAATGGGATCATTTTTTCTGGAATCTAGGCTTTTGCGAATCAAAAGGGAAAGCTGCTTTGAAAAGGATTTGCTTTACTTGACTCTTTCGGCAATACTAAAAGTAAATAGAGCTAATTGACTTTTAGTATTGGAGAAGAATTGGAGTTGGGAAAAAAGTTTCCACTATTGCCATGTTGGGTCCATTATTGGCCATGCCCTCTGGACAAGGTCTGAACATGACTATTTTGGCAATACTAAAAGTAAATAGAGCTAATTGACTTTTAGTATTGGAGATAAAACTGGAGTTGCGGAAAAATGTTTCTACTATTGACAAGATATCACTATTGGCTGGACAACATTATACCGTTTTAAGTTTGGTATAACTTTGGTATTTCTTGAATTTCTTTGATATAACTAAAAAAGGGTTTCGCGGAAATACCACGAAATACCATAGAAATACCAGAGTTATACCAAAACATTTTCGGCATAACTCTGTATAGCTTGGTATAACTAGATACCTGTCTCAGTAAACAGAACGCTGCCCGTGTAACTTGGTCCAACATCAAGTTCGTGTCGGCATCACTTGGCGGAGCTGGTGCCGGAGAAGCCATGTGAAAAAAACGCCAGACGGCTGTGCTTTGAAACTAAACACCTCGCCGCGGACAACCGCAGGCAAATCGAAACGATCATTTCCCACATCATGCCACTGATTCAAGCACTTCTTCAGAATCAAACACATGCAAAAACCTTGTATATCCATGTCGCAAAAAACTCTGGCTAAAAAAACATTTTTTTGCACGCGGACCTCAAAAAAACATTGAAAATCAACTAAAAAAATAAGTTCGCTAAGTTCGGTCACGCTAATTTTGCTAACCTAGTTGCATCTGGAGTATTCAAGATACAAATTTACTAGCATAGATGCAAGTTCAGCACGAACTTGCTGCATATAGCCAAAATGAACTAAATTACAAATATAGTTACCCCTGCTTGCAAATTAAGTTATGCCTGCTTGCAAATTCTCCAACTAGGGGGGCACCTCTTTGTACACGTACGCTAGATAACAAACATATTTTTACGAGACTTTAAAAAAAACTAAATTATAATGTTATCCATTTTCATATATGAAATCCGGATTTGGATTAAAACCATTTTTTTTGGACTTCCAATCTGGGATAGATGACCATATATATATATAATTATATATATATATATTAATATGCCTGACCAGGGTGTCAGAGTGACCATGCTTTCCATGCTTTGACTATGACAGACTTGGTTCTTCACTGTCAGAAACCGTGTGAGTGACGGTTAGTGAACTCACTAAACTCTAGTTGTAACCGGACGAGATGCAGCCCCTACTGGGGCCCCTACCAGTTAGTAACTAGGCTGGGTTGAACCACCAGTGGATTTCAAGTTTAAGAGAACATGAGAAACCACTAAGGTTTCAGGCCTTTTTGGGATACCGGCCTTACCAATGTTATCTAACATACATACACATGTATGTTATCCATATTTAGTAGTGACATTGCTAACATAACATGGATACCGGCCTAAAATCAGGATGGCAATCACCGAACCGGACCGTTTAGGCCTCTATCCATTACAGCATCGTGCGAATCATCTTGTGGCTCATGGTCATGAACCATGTGCTCGCCTGTGGCTGGAACCTTGGCTGATTGTGACTCTTTCTGAGGAGATTGTGGTGATGGAACACTCAAGAAACCGTGAAGAAACCGTTGAGTTTGATCATATGTTTTGCATAATCACACGTATGAAAAAAATGGTACATGTGAGAGCGTATGTCTGCATGATCTCATGGAGTGACCTCACACAAACAAAATGATGGTCGGGAATATCATCCCCCAGTTCCAAGTGCCATGTGCAGCTTGGGGACTTCAGTGACTCATAAATCACCTAGACAAGATTCTAGAGATAAAATGCTATATTGATTTAAGGGTTCAAACATCTTTTAGCTATGTTGAACTCATAGCCATCATAACCATCATAATCATATCTTCAACAACATTATCAACAACAACAGCAACAGCAATAGCAACAACATGTTTCTCCATTTGGTGTTCAAGTTTTTAAAAAAACACATGTCATAGTTCCATCTCTTTGCAAAGTAACATAGCTGTTGAAAATGGCCCTAGAAATAGTTGATTTACCTATTAAAAAAAGATGGTTTTCCATATTATGTTAGTTTACCGCAGGGTAGATCACAGGTTCAAAATCCCATGAATACCATAGTTATACCATAAACATACCCGTGAAAACCATAGAATTCAACCAGGTGGCCATATCTCCAGCGTCGTGGCGCCGCCGTAGCTCTATAGCTCCAGGTTCGGAGTGGCTGCGTTCTCAGACGGACGCACCTGGATTACTGTGAATCAGCTGGAGAGTGAATCGGTGGCCTATCAATATGCGCCTTGGGCGAACTGGGGGCCCCTGCAAAAACAGCCAGCAGATTTCTGGCGAAGACATGGGCAATATTAGTACATACAGTATATATATATATAATACGATTTATAATACGATATACATGAACTATATATGCACTATATATGCACTATGTGAGTATTTGTCAGAAAAAAACGGGAAAGTGTATGAACAGATGGTAGAGCAAGGTTTTTCAAGGGAGCTGATACCACCAATGGAGGTTTCGAATCCACCAGAAATGATGCAGACAAGTTGGGGAAACATCATCCACCACAACGATCATGTCAACCCCGGATTAATTAAAACCATGGTTTATTAATTAGGGGGTACCCTCCAAATAGTCACAATATGGTGCATAAATGATACCCTTCCAATTAAACAGCCTAGAGGTTTATTCATCCAGGGTTGACATTATAGGTGTTACGCACAAAATGGATGGGTTTTTGGTAAATGTGTTGTTGGCTCTGGCAAATACCCAAATCCCCCTTAAAATATCTTAAAATCATATTTGAAACCGCATGATCAGCGTTGTCCCTATTTCCCTTTTGACTTCGCTGTTAAAATGCAATAAAATCTAAAAGTGTTAAAATTGCCTCATTTGGGTTGATTTGAACATTCACGGGCACTAGACTAAAATGCCATAGATCAGGGCCAACTCCACCACAAATACTTCTATTTTTTTGACTTTCAATTCCCCAATCTTCCCCATGTTCTCATCATCATCTATAATCTATATGTTTTACTTAAAACAGCAGAGATTAATCATAATAAATCATAATAACCATAGTTTCACCCGTGATTTCCATTTATTTTCTATTAATCATTGGTTTTACTGATGAATTTCTCAGGATTTCCCCTTTTTCTACGGCATCTTGGGAGATATTTTGCTGTTGACTCGGCAGATCGCGCGCTTCTGAGACCACCTCCTTACACTGGGCCGTGGCGCAGCTGGGGGTGGGGCAGACGGAGATCGAAGCCGTGTCCCTGCCGGAGCGCATCTTTTCGATCCTGGCGGCTTGGCGATGGAGAGCTTGATGACTTGATGACCTGTCAAATGTTTGTCTTTGAATAGATCTTATAATAGATATATAATATTATATATATAATATTATATATATAATTATATATAGATATATACAATACATAGATATTATATATATATATATACCCATAGGATCCATGGTGCTGGTATATATGCTAACATAAAGGGGATATATTGATGGGATCCATGTTACCATTTATAGCAGCACCATGGATCCTATGGGATACAATACATAGATATTATATATATATATATATATTATACCGTTAAAAACAAAGTTAGAATGCGGTTTTGGCTTCGCGTGATGGTGGCCCGTTTGACCCCCCCCCCGCCAGTCGCATTCTAACTGAAGGATCGCGAAGGATCGCCTGTAAATATGCAGCCACACAGTTAGAATGCGGCAGAAAAATTGGTGAGAAAATGTATGTTTTGACTGGTATGTTACAGGCGAAATGGAGTTAGAATGCGGTGGTTGAAAAACACACCAATAGCCCATGTCGCACAGTTCTTGCTGGCATATGCGCGGAAAGCCTCAGTTAGAATGCCTGCCGTTCATGGTTTGTATTCTATTGGCAAGTGGGAACACGAGTTTTATACAAACGTATTAAATACATTAATTATCAGTCGAACCTTCAGACTGCGTATGTGTATATATATATATATGTTATTGTATGTGTGTATATTTTTATGATTATATATACCTACTCAGACTTGATCATGTTGTTGTTGCATCTGTTCATGGTTTAAATGGATTGGTGCTCTATATATATTTACTGGGATCCAGAGAGTGTGCCAGCGAGATGAAGATGGTGTAGATGACCTGTTTGCGTTTACACAATATTAATGGTGTTTACCAATATGGTTATCAATATGATTAACCATAATGGATTAATATGATGTTTATAAATATGGTTTATATATATATATATATGTATGATTAATATGATTAATATATTAATATGGTGTTTAACAATATGTCTACAAACACATGTGAGCAGTGTTCAAAACCCTGGTTGGTTGATGATTAGTTCGGGGATTCTACTACCCAATATATTGGGGATAATATAAATTAATCCAAAAGGGGAATCCCTATAAATCATCCAGTACAATGGAATGATGGAGGGATTTTGAACACTGCTCATGTGATAAAATGTGATTGAATCATCAAATTCGGGTTGCTGGGTGGATCAAGGGATTGATTCAAGGATCAAAGTAATGGATCTAACATGATTTTAACATCAAAATCAATATATACATATATATATATTCATACATGTATATTTTACTGTAGATAAACTATTGTATTTAATTTATGCTGATAAATTAGTGCACACGTAAGCATATATGACATCTAAGCATCAAAATTTATGGGATTTCAGCAACAAGAAGGGGAGCACAACCATGGGAAACTATGGTATTACGCTTGGGGATTGTAATGTGCAACTGATGTTTTACCCTCTGATGATTTATCATAGCAATGGGAGACATTGGCCCATAGCAATAGATGATTTATGACGACTTACCTTTCTGAACCATGGAATAACATGGTGATTTTCCATAGCCAATAGCTATGTTAAATAAGTCTCTGGCAGAAGCACGTGGTCCCAGTATCTTTCCACTAGAAAGGTATCCCAGGCTTATACATCATTTTGCAGTTCATGGTCACGGATGGTCAGCCGAAAACCGACTGACGTCGAGGGCTTTCAAAACTTTTTGGTCGCAATTGGGATTCATCAGCTAAGCTGGCAATGGAGAAATCCAACACATATCTATTTCAAGATCATGTGGGTCCAATTTACATTCATCCTTTCAGGGGTACATAGATATCGATGGTTGTGCTATACAAACTTTATTTGAACATGTTGGGGACCACATTCCATTGCATGAAAGACCATTTTGCTCCTTTCCCAAAACATGTACATACATACATACATAAATATATATATATATGGAGGTTTCCCAAAATAGGGCTACCCCAGTTCTCATCCATTTATAAATGGATATTCCATGAAATAAACAATCCAGCTATTGGGGTACCCCCCCATTTATGGAAACCCAATATATATATATATATATATGTTGTTTGTGGGTGTGTATGCCTACTATTTTGTTTGTTGATAAGTTTGCGGGTAAACCCAAGTAAATGCATTTGTTTTTGGACAACCCCAAAATTTCATAGTGTTGATCATATATATATATATATATATGTATGTATGTATATATATATATATACATACATCCCTATTGTTTCCCACTGTGGTTGCGTATGTATCCCCTAGTGTTTTATAATGAATAACTCGTAAATATTCTTGATAATTCCACGATTTGTTAGCCATTTCAAATAAACCATAGAAGAACTTTTTAAAGGGAACATCTACAGGAAACCATAGATTTTACCGGTAGATATGGGTTTTCCTGTAAAATTTCCCTTAACCCAATCTATTGAATCTCATAACCCAATCCCATAATGTCAACCCTGGATTAATAAACCCCGTTTACGGCTGTTTAATTGGGAGGGTACCATTTAAGTATCAAATAATGACTATTGGAGGAGTACCCCCCCCCAATTAATAAACCATGGTTTTAATTAATCCGGGGTTGACATTATTTATTTATATATATATAACATGATGATGTTAAGTAACAAATTACCAGAGGATCTAGACCACCCCCCCAAACAATGGACAACTGGTTACTGCTTCGTGACATTAAACCAACCATTTTCTGGGTGCCAAGGTGATGTTCGCAGCCCTGCTGAGTTTTTCCACCCTCGTGACGACCTTAGCTATTTGCCAACTCTCCCAGGGAAGAGCCAGGCGAGTGAAAGATGACCCTTTGGTTATGACTAACATAGCCATGGAAAATCATCAATTTAATAGGTACATCATCTATAAATGGGCCATTTTCCATAGCTATGTTCAATAACCAGAGGGTACAATGAATTATTATATATATATATTATACATATATATATATATATTTGTTGTTGGTACTAGAGAAAAATGTGCTATCATTGAATCATTGATGATTATTTGATTCGGATATGAGAAAACATGAGCGGGTGACAGAGCCACTGTTTTCTATTCTGTGTTATTTCATATTTGCAAATGTTTGCCTTTCAACTTTCAACCGCTCTCGTGCTTGCTGCTCGTATCTCTTGGACGGATTGCTTTTCATCGACAATGTGGGCTGGTCTGGAAAATAGTCTACTATCTACACTATCTACCAAAAATGCTCATCAATTTTCATGGTGCATCCGTATCAATTGATTGAATCTAAGAAGGCCTGTGGGAGCCCTCACAGGCACACCCCTGTAAACCACCACAAATGAAAAAATCAAAAAACAAAAAAAAAAACATTAAAACAATAAAACAATATAAAACAATACAAAACAATAAATCTAAAACAATATCAATAAAATACATTTAATAATATAATGTTTTTATAAAATATCTTGGATTTTTCCAAGATATTTTTGTTCATACAAGAAATGCATTGGTGAACATACATATGTTTGCTGGATCTTTGGGTCATCTGTAGCTAGTTGGGAGTACCAGATCAAAAATGGCCATAGCTTGGAAGTACAGAATCATGGCACAAGTGCGGACATATTCAGGACACATACAAGGAGAAAGATGTATCCACCAGGGCAGGGCAAAACAAAACTAATACCAACTTGATTGCGCACAGCGCCAGTTGATGCTGACATGACCAGTGCTTGGTTGTGCCCAAGAGTTGCCGGCAGCTGTTTGGCTTAATCTTTTGTGTTGTCAGCATGGGCAATGGCGGAGTTGAGTCTGGATGATGTTTTAAACATCATCGAAGATACACATCCCAACGAAGAGACATGTTCAGAGCCGAGGCCAAGTATATAGAGCTACTGTGCGGCAGAGGTTTGTGGCAGGTCTTCGACCGGGTTTGCTAAGACACGCCAAACAGAAGCGAACCAGAAAGTAAAGGTTGAAGAAAAAACAAAGCTTGGTGGACCAACAGGCAAATGAATACAATGCCAGTGGCCGTGCTAGAGGGGCCGACCATGCGTTTCCAGCTTCAGCAAATGACTTTGAGCGAAAAACAGAGAAAGGCAAAGGTAAATGGAACCGGTGGACCGCGCCCGCTGTTTTGCGTGCTGGATTCAGCTCAGAGTCAGCAACTTCCAGACAAATCGCCAGCAGCATTGAAGGAGGTGGGCCAAAGCATGCTGGAAGGTGTCGGTTTGTCACTGCCTCAACCATCTTGGAAGCGCAAAATCATGGGATGGCTTTAGTTCAGCAAACTGGGTCCCAGGGTAGCCTTGATTTTTGGATTCGGAGCCTCATGTTTGATGAGTCTACGTTTTCATTGAGCCTTCAGCACGAAGCGGCAACTGCCACCTCGGTCTTGTGTTCACATGGGCATTGGACCTATGGCTTTACTCCTTGCTATTATAATTGTTTGTTTTTTTCACATCAAACGTCCAGGAGCACGGGGATGCAGAGGAGGTCTCGGACCCTGTGCCCTTGACAGAAGCGAAGAACTCGTTCACCGCTTGCCCACCTGGAGGTTGCACTGGGCATCTTTCTCGTGAACAGCTGGCCTTGCACAGCAAGTTGCATGCAGACTTGTGCGTTCTGGTGAAAAAACATGATCCTCCTCGCAATAGGCCTGCGGCCGACCCTTTGGTCATCATGTGGGAATCTGCAAGTCTGGCAAAGACTGTGTCCGTGCTGCTTGCCTTCCGGACCATGGACTCTCCAATGGACATGTTGTTCCTGCGCTTGGGCCCCAATGTTGGTTTGATAGAGGAGCCTCCTTTCAGTTTGCGTGTGCAATATTATGCAGATCGCTTGGATGCAGCGCCTCTGCACGACAATGATTTGGCCATTTGTGCTCAGCTTGCCCTCGAGGCGGGTGATTGGGTCATCCACCGCTTGGAGCTTGCAGGCATTGATGATGATCCGTCAGAGTTTCGCATTGCCCGCAAAATTTCTCATGACGCAGAGCACTTGCAAGAGGAAGCCCGCCAACAGAAGGAAAACGACTTGGCCATGCGGGCTTTCCGCTTGATGGAACGACTCAAAAGTGGTCAAAAAAGACAAAGGCGGCCCCGGGGCCCTCAGCCCAGCACAAAGAAAGCGCGACAAACTGCCATGCCTTGCGATGAGCAAGGAGAACTTTCGCCTTCCCGTTTGTCTGAGGAGAGCTGGTCTGAAGACAGTGAATGGGCTGGCAGTGCCGGTGAAGAGGATGCCCCTTGATTTGAATCTGGGCGCAGAGAAACTTGACATTTGCGGCTCAGACTCTGCCGCTGACGTTTCGGCCGTTGGTCGAGGCTTGCCAAGTTCCGAGCTTGGTTTCAAGGGAAGCTCCACGGAGTCGTCTGCAGGCATTGCTGTTGACGCGGCCTCTGGCCGGGCTGTCCAGTCCGCGAAGTCGAAGAGAGTGGTACAAAAGCGAGGGGTTCGTTGCAACGGGACCCTTCTTGCTGTCGCCCATTGTGCCGCAAGGAGGACAAACCGGGTGGGGAGCCATTTGCGGCTTGCACCACAACAGAGGAGATGGAAGTGGCTCGAGGTGCAAGAAAGCTTTGAGCATGGGCCGGTTGAGCCACAGCGCTTTCATATTACGATTGAAACGGTGGCTTCTAATAGCCGGGCTCAATGATGCAGAGCTTTCTGTCCAGAACGCTCGGTCAGATCATGTGGCCATGGGAGGACCTGGCTTACAAGCTTTTGCCGAAGAAGGCCCCTCAGAAGAAGAGATGGACGAGAAAATCCGACAATATACTGCCTCAAGTCTTTGAGTCCTTTGAAGTGACTTTCCGCTTTATAGTTTCTGACGTTGTTTAAGTTTTGCTTGTGGTTGTGACCTGGCTTTCGAAATATATTCGCGATAGATCTTTGGTAGCGAGCGGTGGCAGTATGTTCAAGTACGATGGACCATTGAGATCTACATTCATATCACCCAGGTTTCTTTCCAATCCTTGACCTCTTCGACAGTACAGACACAGCGTCTTCTTCTTATCCTTTTGCAGCAATCAAACAAGTAGTGGTGATCAGGTTGGTTTGGATTTTGGTTTGCGGGGAGGTTTTGCCAAAGGCAACCCAAAGTAGTATCATTATCAGATATTTTGATATTTTATTGTTTTTCTAAAAACAATTTAAATTTTCAAAACGATTAAGAAAAACAAAGAATTTTTCATTTTTGAAAACCACACACTTATCTTCCGTTTTCATTCACTTATCTCCTGTTTTCATACACTTAACTTGTGGTTAAGTGCGAGATTCCGGTTTTTCAAAAAAGTTTGAAAATTCAAAAAAAAATATATCAAAAAAGATGAAAATAGCTTTCGCCAAAAAAAATGTAGATTTACAATTCTGTTCCAGCCTGCTCCGAGGTGATTGGATTGGTTTTAGCCCATTGCCAGAGCTGACTAGAGACAGAGCAGACAAGTTTCACCTGAACACTGCGCGACAGGCACTCTCGTGCAGCAAAACCTTGCAGTTGTCAGCTGCTGCTTGAAGTTAGCAGTTCGAACTTGGTTCTGTGCAGGGGAAGCCTGAAGCTCCTGAGTTGCCACCTGGTTGTCTCGACTCCTTAGGCTTGTCTGCCAGAGGTCGTCCTTCCTGCTTAGGCTCAAGCTGTGTGAGTTGTAGTTGTTTTCCTTTCGCTTTTGCAACCCAAAGGGTTGGCAGGTCCGTGCCGAATGGCCAGTCTTCCAGGGTCAGACTTTGGAGGTCTGTCTGAAGGCGGTTTTGATGACAAGGGTTCAGAGGCATCTGGACCGGTAGCAGAGCAGATCAGTTTTGACCTGAGCAAGCCTTGTACCTGCGCTTTGTCCCAGAAGACCAGTGTCTCAGAAAGCCCCCTGACAAGCAGCCACCTGCATGACAAGCATGGCAGCCGTAGGCCATGGAGTTCCTACAGGAAAGTCTTTGACAAGGCCTCTGGTGTCACGTACCGGGTTCCCCAGTCCAAGTTGTGTAGTTTGTGCCGGAATGTCTGGAAGCTCTTAGGCTTTTCCCACAAGTACGGAAACATAGCCAAATATGTGAAGATGATCGCAGAGAAGGGAGTTGACCATGCCGTTTTCCTGGCCAGTCTGGACGAATGGATCAAGAAGCACAATGCAAACCCAAACAAGCACAGGCTCCGCAATGCAGATGATAAGGACTCTGTCCGGGACGCAAAAGAGAAACTGCTGACCAAGGACGAGCACGGCTGCGAGTTTGAAGCCCCTGCTAGCCATGCTGCTGCCAGTCCATGTTTGTTCGTGGACATTTGTGAATTGGGAGGCGATGTGGCGGATTGCGCCGCACATGGGCAGAAGTGTCCGGTGCCACAAGTAGACCTCCTGGTTTTAGGGACATCTTGCAAAGATATGAGCCGAGCAAACCCCTGCCAGCACAAGGATTCCGCAGTGCTGTCTCAGCAGGTCAGTCGGGGAGGCTCCGCACAGACATTCCAAGGAATGCTGTCCTATTTGCAGAGCAAATGCCCACCCTTAGTGCTCTTCGAGAATGTAGACGCCATGGACGACAGCAAGGGCACGGACATGAACAACATGGACATCTTTTTGGCCGAGACTTCCGCCCGGGGGTATGAGAGTCAGGTCTGCATGACAGATGCAGCCGAGTTTGGATGTAGCGCCCGCCGGAGGAGAATTTATGTTCTTCTAGTCCGAACAGCCGTGAACCCGCTTCTGGACTTTACTACCAGGCCTTTGACAGCTGCTTTTGCCACCTTCCGGGCTTTGCTGCTTGGTTGCCTTCGAGGCGGGCCTTGTGTGACCCAGATCCTTTTCCAGGAAAGTTCGGAACCAGTTCAACTGGAACTCGGGTTGCGCTTAGACAAGCGGGCGAAACAAAGGGAGAAGGACGCTGAGAAGAAACAAGGAGCACCCGCTCCCCCTCAGAGTTGGGTCGAGCAGCACATGCAGTTTGCCCAAAATCACCGGGTGCGTTGGGGGCAAGCTGTCCCAGCAAAATTGGCCGCCAATCAGTGGTACCAGACTCCAGACTTTGGGTGACCGTGAGCAAGACGCTTTGTCTTTGCTGCAGCAATGCACCCCGTACATTGTGTTCCGAGATTTGTCTCAGTCAATCGTGCGAGGAAATTCGAACACCTGGAGACAAGATTCCAGCAAGCATGTCATGAGCACAGTGCTTCCAAGGATGGTTCTTTGGTGTGAGGCACAGAATCGCCTAGTCCTTGGGCGAGAGGCTTTGCTCATGCAAGGCTTTCCAGTCCAACCTTTCTTGCAAATTTTGGCAGCGCGCATGGAGACCATGCCTTTGGCGCAGCAATGGCATCCTTCTGAAGCGCTCATGATGGACCTGGCAGGCAACGCCATGGCATTGCCAGTAGTCCTTGCTATGGTACAATGTGCGCTGGCTGCTTTAAATTGGAAAGATCGGACTCTATCCGGGCAAAGCAGCAGTTCAGTTGGCTTTGTCACAGACCGAGGACTCGTGTTGGAATGTTTGTTGACTGTTGACTGTTGATAGCGTGGCCAATGCGGTCTTGATATTCCTTCTCTTCCTCCTTTGTTTTCTCGCCTCCTTGCTTTTAAGACTTAGATTTTGTGAGCCGTGAGTTTGGCGTCCCTCGTTCGTGTATTTAAGTGGGTTCATGGCAATTAGGCGGTGGCTGTTTTTGTGCCCATACATTGTGCAGGAGATGGCCCTTGCCCTTGGGGCGATGGAAGCTTTGGATTCAACTGCTCCCATGGAAAGCAAGCCTCAGGCCGAGATCGCGATGAGTGCTCTGGATGAGCGAATCTACAAGAGAGCTAGAAAAGGCAAGCAGAGACGCTTTCAAAGCGGGCAGTTTGATGATGAGCGGCAAGGTCTTCAAAGCAGCCGGTAGTTCTTTTTTCAAATCATGTAGCAGCCAGAGCAAGGACTCTTTGCGCATGGCTCTGCTGAGGAAAAAGACTAAAACTGTCAGCCTTTGCCTTTGCAGCTGTGTTGGGACAGGATGATATAAGCAAAATTCCAACTGCAGCGAAACTTAATTCAACAAAAATTGGCAGAAAAGCACAAAAAATATCAAACATTTTCCAAAAAATGTTTCTGTTTTGTTTTTTTTTAAGCTTCATTTTTTTCTTTTTATTTGGTTTTATTTGGTTTTTTCTTATTTTTTGTTTTTGTGAGTTCATTGTTTGTATACTCCTTTACTGAAAAGATCACAGCCCTTCTAAACCCAACCAATGTTTTGCATTTCCCAGACTGTGAATCATTTTTACAGCATTTTGTTTGCATCTCCCGAAGCAGGAGTTGTTTTTTTTCCAGCATCCTCGTCAGCCCCGCCTACCCCGTCACTCTATCACGAGCTGAAACAAATGACAAAGCAAATGACGAACACGCAAAATGACAAATAAATGACAACAAAATGACAACAAAATGACACAATCATTGTTTTAGATTTTCCAATGTTTGCAGGCCCAAGATTTTCCTAAGCAGTTCTTCTTTATTCCTTGGTGCTTTCATGCCTTGGGATGATCCCCGGCAAGAGCCCGAGGAACTTCAGGCACGAGAGTCATAGAAGCTGCAAACATTTCGTGACCCGTGGCAACTTGGACCGGGCACGGCTTCAACTGCATCAATTTCATGGGATGAATTCAGTTAGGCTGATTTTGTTGATTGGTTTTAGCGATTGGGAAGCCAATACAGGTATGATGGTTATGTAAAATCATGTTTGAGCAGGTAAATCATCTACAAATGGACCCTGTTCCATAGCTCAGCTATGTCAGAATACCAGAGGATTGTTGATGGGATCAAGCTGTATCACTGGCTTTGTTTCAAAAGGGATGCAGTCGTACCTGGCAATCGCATTTTTTGGAGACTCCAAATATCTTTATTGGTTTATTGTACATAATATATATATATATAGCATTATATAGCTGGTTATTGGTTTGGAACATTTTTTCGGTTTCCATATTAATTGGGAATAGTAACCCCAACTGACTAATACTTTTCAGAGGGGTTGAAACCACCACCCAGTATATATATATATATACATATTATATATATCATATAGTCTATAGCCCGTTCCATCTCCATTCAGTACCGAGTATGTCACAATACATCCGCATGTTTACCTCTAGTGTATAATTACCCATTTTCAGTCACACCCAAATATTGAACCCATATTGTATATATATATATATATGCAGGCATACATGTATAGCAGAATTTCATGAACTATCCCAGCTATATGCATATCATATCCCCAGCATATGTATATATATATATATATCACATGTATATTCCCAAAACCATTGGTTTATCATGTTGGTGGTTATATATATGGGCCCCAACAGAATTTTGGAAATGGAAAAAAGGTTTTACATGGGCAAGCAAACAACTGCGGCGCGCCGGGGCCGTATTTTTCCATAATTCTGTTTTACTGATAAAAATGCACACCTCAAAAATCGGTAATACCTTGTATACCGAACCTTTGTGGAAGGGGCGTGACGTGCTGCAGTTAAATTTCCATATATATTTTTTCCATGTGAGGGTGCTTCATGGCATACGACCATTTCCATAATTATTCGTTTCCTGAAAGGGGTGACAACTTCTCTATTGACATGTTTCCATAATTCTTTTGGCCATGGCTACAGTGCATGATTATGGCTACAGTAGCATCAGTGGGAGATCAAAATAGACATGTGGAGGAATAATTTCACATGTACCCCTTAGCACTTTCCTCAGTTTGTTGCCTTGTAGGCCCAACCCTGAGCACTGAAAACCCTGAATTCTCACAGGGGATGGGCGACTGCCGCAAGAATTTTCTCCCCATAATCCCGCAGGATCTAGTTATACATGTCATATCTATTCCATCTATATATCCACCTATCCATCTATCCACCTATCAACCTATCCATCTATCCATCTATCTACAGTCACCGACAGAATTATGGAAATGAAAACAGGGACGCGCGCCGCAAGTAATCGAAACGGTTAATTTAAATTTAATTCCAAGATCATGCAAATACGCTGTAAACTAGGTGGTTTGAAGGATCAGGGTCCGAGAGCTGAATCTAGATTTAGTCCCAAGATCATGCAAATAAACTGTAAACAAGGTGGTTTAGAGATGTTTGGAGGATCAGGATCCCAAAACTGAATCTGGATTTAGTCCCAAAATCATGCAAATTTCCTGTAAACCAGGTAGTTTGGAGGACCAGGATCCGAAAAGTAAGATTTCCAAAATTAATTTCGCATCGTGGATTGGAGGCTTTTGTAGAAATTTGTATACATTTGTTTCATCCTTTTTTCCCCACCTGCCAGGTGAGGGTTGTTAGATTTTATGTCAGTTGCCTCCTCCTCCTGCCGCCTCCTGCCTCCTGCCTCCTCCTCGTCCTCCTCGTCGTCCTCCTCCTCGTCGTCCTCCTCGTCGTCCTCCTCGTCCTCCTCGTCCAACTGCGACCCGCGATCCACAGTGTTCTCTGCCGGACCTCAACCACGACCATCCACGCCCAGTGTTCTCTGTCGGACCTCAACCACGACCATCCACGCCCAGTGTTCCCTGCCGGACCTCAACCACGACCATCCCCGCCCAGTGTTCCCTGCCGGACCTCAACCACGACCATCCCCGCCCAGTGTTCCCTGCCGGACCTCAACCACGACCATCCACGCCCAGTGTTCCCTGCCCGACCTCAACCGCGAGTATCCCCGCCCAGTGTTCCCTGCCGGACCTCAACCACGACCATCCACGCCCAGTGTTCCCTGCCGGACCTCAACCGCGTATCCACGCCAAAAGATATGCCACATAGAGTGCCAAAAGATATGCCAGATAGAATGTTAGAAGATATGCCAGATAGAATGCCAGAAGGTATGCCAGAAGGTATGCCAGATAGAATGTCAGATAGAATGCCAGAAGATATGCAAGATAAAGTGCCAGAATGTTTGCCAGATAGAATGCCAGCAGATTTGCCAGATAATATGCCAGAAGATATGCTAGATAGAATGCCAGATGGAATGCCAAAAGATATGCCAGAACATATGCCAGAAGATATGCCAGAAGATATGCCAGAACATCTGCCAGAAGATATGCCAGAACATCTGCCAGAAGATATGCCAGGTAGAATGCCAGAAGATATGCCAGATAGAATGCCAGATCGAATGCCAGAAAATATGTCAGATAGAATGCCAGAAGATTTGCCAGCAACAAAATGTATAAATGTCATGGTGGGGATCACACGAAGTAAAGTAATTTTTGAAGGATCAAGATCCGAAAACTGAATCTAGATTTAGTCCCAAGATCATGCAAATACGCTGTAAAGCAACTGGTTTGGAGGATCAGGGTCCGAAAGCTGAATCTAGATTTAGTCCCAAGATCATGCAAATAAACTGTAAACAAGGTGTTTGGAAGATCAGGATCCCAAAACTGAATCTGGATTTAGTCCCAAAATCATGCAAATTTGCTGTAAACCAGGTGGTTTGGAGGATAAGGGTCCCAAAACTGAATCTGGATTTTGTCCCAAAATCATGCAAAAACATTCAAAACTAGGTAGTTTGGAGGACCAGGATCCGAAAAGTAAGATTTCCAAAATTAATTTCGCATCGTGGATTGGAGGCTTTTGTAGACATTTGTATACATTTGTTTCATCCTTTTTTTTGAAGGATCAAGATCCGAAAACTGAATCTAGATTTACTGTAGTCCCAAGATCATGCAAATACGCTGCAAAGCAACTGGTTTGGAGGATCAGGGTCCGAAAGCTGAATCTAGATTTAGTCCCAAGATCATGCAAATAAACTGTAAACAAGGTGGTTTAGAGATGTTTGGAGGATCAGGATCCCAAAATTGAATCTGGATTTAGTCCCAAAATCATGCAAATTTGCTGTAAGCCAGGTGGTTTGGAGGATAAGGGTCCCAAAACTGAATCTGGATTTTGTCCCAAAATCATGCAAATACGCTGTAAAGCAGGTAGTTTGGAGGACCAGGATCCGATAAATAAGATTTCCAAAATTAATTTTGCATCGTGGATTAAAGGCTTTTGTAGACAATTTGTCTCACTTGTTTTTTCTTTTTTAGAGGATCAGGATCTGAAACTTGCTATTTCCAAAATTATTTTTTTGAAAGTCCGTAATGTCGCTAATCTTTTGTCTTGGTTTCGGTCCCCAACCTTTTCCGCTAACTGCGGCGCGCGAACCTTTTTTCATTTCCAAAATTCTGTCGGTGGCTGTATATATATATATACATATATATATATAGATATCCCCACTATGGTTGGATATCCCGATGCTGTAAATCCTCTCAAGATTTTTTCCCAGCAGGTGGTGCCCCCCAATTATAGGTTGCTTTATAAATCCCATTAGCTAGTCCGATATACTATCTGGAACCCCTAGCTATGGTACTAGCCATCTTAGCCACATGGGTTATGAGAAAAATCCCATTACTAGTTGTGAACTAGTACTGCAATATGTTGCTATCCACGGTAAAATGTATATATTACCAGCTAAAGATTCTGTATTTGTTTGGCAGGTATCTAAGATGCACCATAACTATATATATATATATACCATACTACATACCAAAAAAGGGTGTTTTTTGATATACTGTATATACATATATATATATATACATACATATAGTTATGGTGAATTGGGTTATATATATATATATATATGTATATAGTATCTAAGATTCACCACAACTATATCAGAATATCATACTACATAAACTCTCCCCAATGGTTTTTTTTGAAATTGGCTATGCCCCGCTCGCAATGGGATTTCATTTGGGACCCCCCGACAGCATCGGAGCCCGCTCGATGCTGACTGGGATGGTGGGCTATTGCAAATGGCCCAGTCGAAATAGTGGATTTACCCATTAAAAATTGTGATTTTCAATAGTTATGTAAACGTTTACCAGAGGGTATCATCGCATTTCATCGGATTTAACCTGATTCAACCAAACAAGATGGTGATATAACTTATGGTGCTGTGGTTATAACCAATATTATGGCCATAACTTATGTAAGACGGAGATACGCTTAGTGCTGTTGGATCTATAACCATCAGATTACGATGTTTTGACCAGGGCACTAAGCATATCTCCAATGTTTCTAACAGAGCAAGAGTTGCAATGTTGAGGCCCATTGGACGTCATCATGGGCGTTGTGTTGCTGGTGAATGCTTTTGTGGCTTTTTGACCGGCATCCGCGTGGTAACTGGTGGATTTTGATACCATGAACAAATGCAATTCTGGTTGGTGGTTTGGAACATTTTTTACTTTTCCATATATTGGGAATAATCATCCCAACTGACTAATATTTTTCAGAGGGGTTGAAACCACCAACCAGATATAATTAATATCAATTATTATATATATAATATAATATATATTGTATCAGGGTACCAAACGAGCAGTGTTGAAAAGCCCTGCTGGTTGGTGCTTTCAATCATTTTTTATTTTCCATAATATATTATATGGGATAATCCTTCCCATTGACTTTTATATTTTTCAAGATGGTTAAAACCACCAACCAGAATTTTGCGGTATAAAATTCGATTGTGTGTCAGATGTCACGGGCGAACACGGGAGATTTTACCAAGAGACATCGGGGGATCTAAACATCACAAAAATGTATTGTTAAATCGATGCAAATAATCTTTAACAAAAACATCAACAAACATGTGGATACCACTGGGTTTAGCCATCAAAAATACGGTGTCACCATCAAAAAATGAATTTAGTAATCAAACATACGTTTAAAATCGGGATATAGTGGGGATATCACGGTCTATATATGGTTCATGGAAGGGTATTCCAAGGAGTTTGATGGTGATGTGTTTTTTTCCCTGGCAAAAATGTTCACGCCTTTTTGTGTATAGGCGCCAATATTATAATATGTATATGTATATATATATATATATGTAATTTAGCCATATCTACACAATTTCTTTAGGGTGTTTCTTTGTTTGAATATCACATGTTTGGACATGTTCCGATGCGGTGGCAGAGACCTTTGTGTCACTGTAATTCTGACTGATTAGTTTACCTCCCTTGTTACCCTCATGGGTTTGTTGAAAAATAGGGTACCCTCCGATTTTCAAACGTGACAGTGGAAAATCGCGCATTCATGATTGATTTGCCCAGTGGAAGACCTCCATTTTTAGCAGTTTTCCATGAAAACCATGTGTGACGTCATACTGGAGGGTATCCCGAAATGTGATGTTTTCAGTTTCTGGAAAAACATATAAATCGCCATTTTTAACGCAGGTTTTCTGCGGTAAATCCACGAGGAAATTCAACAAACTCAAATACTTATCACATATGGCCTGGTTGTAAATCCCATGAAGTCATACAGTCATACTGTCATAGTATGTCATAGTGGTATCCCGTGTAGTATCCCAATATCCCATTCATATATGAATGGTATCAAAGGTTGATCATATGTGTGGTCAAACATTCCATTCCCTGGTAGGTGAAGCCTGTAGACGGCAAAGATCAGCTAAGTTGGTGACCATAGTTTCGATGACGAGGGTTTACGGGACACATTTATTTATACATACCAATAGGATCCATGTATGGAATATTTACCAACATTTACCCCATAAATGACCCAAATGTAGGTAAATATACCATACATGGATCCTATGGGATACATATTATACAATGTGAGGCCCCCGGCCACGATAGCTAAGTTGGTGAACATAACTCCAATAACCATGATTTATGGTACGCAAATAGCTGGGGGGCCTCACATTGTATGGCTTGGGGATGGTTTCTCACGACAGCGAGGAAATAAAAATAGCGACTACAGAGCAGTAGAAAGAACAGTTGGCACAACAAGTATTATATTTACATATATATATATAGAAATATGTATTTACATATACATACACACACATATATATATTATAAAATCATCCTAAAGTAGATAGAACAGGGGATTCTCATTGATATTCCCAAATTAGTGTAGGGGCACCTAAAGCCAACCCACCTACAAACTTACAAACCATCAGTCCAGCAGCTCAGTCCCACCATTTGAGGTGATCGCGGAACAACAGACTATAGGAGATCGAGACCTTGGCTGAAGATTGGGGATTTCACTAAGAATTCGATGGTGAAAAGATCGGGGACCGAGATTTCAGATTCCCTCTGGTTATGACTAACATAGCCATGGAAAATAGGAAAATAGCCCATTTATCGATGGTTTACCTATTAAAAATGGTGATTTTCCATGGCTATGTTAAATAATCAGATGGTATAGCCTCCAGTAATTTAGCCCGACAATGGACACATTGTTTGTTTTTGTATGGAAACATCATTTAGAAGTGGGAACTGCTCAGAATCCCCAAGTTTATCCATAAATGGAGGCCAGGTTGATCAATTTCCAGCATCAAGAATGTGTTTACCATTTTCCACCCAGTCTGACTCTTGTTTGACTCACGCGAAATTTGGGTTTGATTGAAAACAGGATACCCAATGGATAACTTTTGGTTTTTCATCGTTCCCCATGTTCCCCCGTGTTTGGCCATAATCGCAGTGTAAATTTCCCATGCACGGGAAAAAAAAACATATTTAATTACTGGCTGGTGGTTTGGAACATTTTTTATTTTTCCATATATTGGGAATAATCATCCCAACTGACTTTCATATTTTTCAGAGGGGTTCAAACCACTGACTTGTATTCCATATGTTAAACATTTAATGTGGTAAACCCAATGCCATCCCATTTGGGGGTCATTTAGGAGTGTAGTATACCCAATGGTAAACCTCTATTGGGGATGTTTTATTGTATAGTTATCCCATCAGTATCCATGATTATCCCACTCTTATCCTATTTTATATTTCAGTGATATCTTTCTAAATCCCATACTTGTTGGGTAACCCCACATTAGAGGGAACACATCCCAATAAATCACCATGTTTGCTGGTTAAGTCACGATGTTTCGTAGTGACCAAGCATTATGGCATTGGGTGAATTCCAGCACATCCATAGCACTGTTTGTTGAACTATTTGTCACCATTATATCACCATATTAAGCCATATTATTCCTTAGTATATCCAATTTTTATCACCATGTTCACTTCAATGGGAATGTGTTTCCCAATCGTATCCCAAATGAAAACATAATAATCCATTTGATCCCTTTATCTTGGGATATTTGATTATCCCATATTAATCCATAGTTGATAGGTGGTTTATCCGATTATTTATAGGACTTCAACCATCCAAGGTGGTGCAGGATTTCTGTCACGCACAGTATTAATCCATATTCATATCTTACTATTGTCCCCTTATGGCATTGGCTGTTTCCCGCTGAGGAATCGCCAGCACCTTTCAACTTCACCCTCATGATGTGCCGACGGAGACGCTGTGTTTCTCGATGGTTACACACGTGGTTGTGGTTCTTTGGTTGGGTTCCCAAACACATCATTGTCTCAAGATTCTCTCCCAAAATGCCGAAAAAAACAATCTGGAGGTTTCCTAAGTCATCTTGGTACCCCAATTCACCAGGGCGGTTTCAATACTAAGTCATGGTGAGAAAATCTGGCTGATTTGGGGCTACCCCCCATGACTGCGGTCTGGCGACATCCTATGTATCTTCAATAGCAATACCCGTGATCAAAACATCTTAAACCAATATGAGACCCCAAAAAATGTCACCACCAAAAAGAATAAAGAGACCTCTATCTGACATAGCCATTGAAAATAGCCCAGTCGAAATAGCTGATTTTTCCATAAAAAATGGTGGGTTTTCCCATAGTTATGTAAACGTTTACCAGAGGGTACTGTTTACCATAGTTATTTTCCATAGTTATGAAAATGGTGATTTTCCATAGCTATCTAAGTTATATATAAATTCCTATACAAATTTTCTTTAATAGATACTGGCTTTTAGGAAAAAGATCAAGACCTGACCTTTCCTCCGAAAAAAACGATGCGAAACGTCTGAGCAGATGGCCTCCATCATCGAGAGCCGTTCTTTGTGTTCGATGTGGCTGGGCGATGGGCGATGTCGTGGGGTCATCTAGGAATATTAGGAATATGGTAGAAGTTATTTAAGGGATAATATATATATATATAATATACCAGTAGTACCGCGCAAGGCGGTGGCGGAAGTTTCAAAAATAGGAAACCTATAGGAGAGATTGGTTGTTGTGAATCACGGATGGCAGAGCGAAGCCACTGATGGATCGAAAGGTGATTGATGTCTCCTCTCTTTCTCTCTGTTTTTTTTTTTCCTCTCTCTCTCTCTCTCTCTGATTATTTACCTACCTACCTACCGATCTATCTATCTATCTGTCTATCTATCTATCTGTCTATCTATCTATCTATCTATCTGTCTATCTGTCTATCTGTCTATCTGTCTATCTGTCTATCTGTCTATCTGTCTATCTGTCTATCTGTCTATCTGTCTATCTGTCTATCTATCTATCTATCTATCTAAATTTCTTTCTTTCTTTCGTTCTTTCTTTCTTCCGTTCTTTCTTTCTTTCGTTCTTTCTTTCTTTCTTTCTTATCTATCTTATCTATCTTATCTATCTTATCTATCTTATCTATCTTATCTATCTTATCTATCTTATCTATCTTATCTTATCTTATCTATCTTATCTATCTTATCTATCTTATCTATTTTATCTATCTATCTATCTACCTACATATCTATCTATCTATCTAATCTTATCTTATCTTATCTTATCTTATCTTTTCTATCTTACCTATCCAATCTATCTAATCTATCTATCTATCTTTCTATGTATCGAACGGTCTATCTATCTATCTATCTATTTATCTATCTATCTATCTATCTATCTACCTATCTGTCTATCTATCTATCTATCCATCTATCTATCTATCTATCTATCTATTTATATTTCTTTCTTTCTTTCGTTCTTTCTTTCTTTCGTTCTTTCTTTCTTTCTTATCTATCTTATCTATCTTATCTATCTTATCTATCTTATCTATCTTATCTATCTTATCTATCTTATCTATCTTATCTTATCTTATCTATCTTATCTATCTTACCTATCTTACCTATCTTACCTATCTTATCTATCTTATCTATCTTATCTATCCTATCTATCTATCTTATCTAATCTTATCTTACCTTACCTTATCTTATCTTATCTTATGTATCTAATCTATCTATCTAATCTAATCTAATCTAATCTAATCTAATCTAATCTAATCTAATCTAATCTAATCTAATCTATCTAATCTAATCTAATCTAAATCTAATCTAATCTAATCTAATCTAATCTAATCTATCTAATCTATCTATCTATCTATCCTAATCTAATCTAATCTAATCTAATCTAATCTAATCCTGTCTATCTACCTGTCTATCTGCAAGCTTGAAAACCAAGCTATTCTGCAAGACTTCTTCAATTGTCAAAGTTGACAACATCAAAAACGAAGCAATTCTGCGAGACTTCCTCAATGTTTGAACTTGACAAGGTCAAAAACGAAGCGATTCTGCGAGACAACATCAAAAACAAAGCAATTCTGCGAGACTTCCTCAATTTTTGAACTTGACAACATCCAAAACGAAGCTATTCTGCGAGACTGCCTCAGTTTTTGAACTTGACAACATCAAAAACGAAGCAATTCTGCGAGACTTCCTTCAAAAATGGAAAGTTGAGATCAGAGCTGACGGCCTCGTACCAATGCGTTTTGCGATTTCTCCAGTCCATCTGTCTAAAGTACTGCGCCTGCCACGAAAAAGTGAGGCCAGGTCATACGAAGTGTCGCACTTGTGATGCAAAATCATTTTAGCAAACCTGGAGATCTGATGCCCCAAAATGCAACCTCTCTCAGGAAATCAGCGCCCGGGCCTCCTAACAGCTCTGATGAAGATGTCTCTTGTACTGCGCCTGCCACGGAAAATGCATCTTTGCAGATCCTCTTCAAATGTCCACGCTTGCCATCGTTTTTGGAAATGCGACAAAACCCTCGCATTTTGCTCACTTTTGAGAAGGTGCACAATCCCTTGCGCTTGCCACGCGAAACGACATCTGAACCTCCAAAAGCGGCGCAAACATGTTGTGTTTTGTACATTTTGGCTTCGAAATGTGCTTCGCGCCACAACGCCGTGCACTTTCTCGACATCTCAACTTCCAAAAGTGGTCCGAGCATGGTGTGTTTTGTACATTTTGACTTCGAAATGTGCTTCGCGCCACAACGGCGTGCACTTTTTCGACATCGCAACTTCTAAAAATGCTCCGAAGCTACTGAAGTGTTTTGTACATTTTGACTTGGAAATGTGCTTCACGCCACAACGGCGTGCACTTTTTCGACATCTCAACTTCCAAAAGTGGTCCGAACATGGTGTGTTTTATACATTTTGACTTCTAAATGTGCTTCGCGCCACAGCGGCGTGCACTTTTTCGACATCGCAGCTTCCAAAAGTGGTCTGAGAATGGTGTGTTTTGTACATTTTGGCTTGGAAACGTGCTTCGCGCCACAACCGCGTGCACTTTTTCATCTCTCATCTGGCCAGCTGGCTCCGCACTCGCCGCTTTAGCGAGCCTATTTTTCGACCCTCCGGAGCCAGAAATCAGTGGACAAACACAGTGTTTCGCGACTTTCCTACCTTTTCGCGCACCTGCATCTTCTGTCTTCTGACTCTTTCTCTTCTCTGATCTTCTCTCTTCTGCGCTTCTCTCTTCTACTCTCTCTGACTCTTTCCATCTCTGCTTTTCATCTGTCCGTATTGTCGGAAGTTTGACTTCTAAACTTCCTTCGAATATACAATTACTGCTTGGTGGTTGGGATGATGATCCAGTTTGACTTTCATATTGTTCAGAGGGGTAGATATACCACCAATATTTATATTTATAATTATATAACATTGTATTTCAGCATATTTACAGGAAATTATATCCCAACTTGATACCACATGTTAGATAGTGTGAAGCATAGTTTATAGGATGTTGTAGGGGCTATATTACAATGTTTTTTGTTACCTTATGGTTATAGCCATTTGGTAGCCTCAACTGCACAGCCAAGTACACCCGAAAACGGGGTGATCGAAGATTTGTGTTATGGTTGGCACTTTTTAACTTAAATGATTGATAATATTTTACTATGGTTTACGATGGTTAAATATGTGTTACTATGTTTTAATATGGTTTAATATGTTTTGTTTTTTTAATGTGGTTTGATGGGATACATGGATATACTCAATGGAGCTTCGGGAAACATGATTTCCTTCGCAACAAACACTGGATCAAACTGACCGGATTCGGTTGTATAATTTCCTTGGTTGATAGATGTGGCGTTGATGCTCCAGTCATTTGAATCCAAACGTGTTGGACAGTTCCAATGTTTTACGCGATGAATATTAATGTGATGTGTATACAGGAACATCATCTTACTAAACAGGTGGTTGTCCAGCAGGCCTTGTAAAAAGTTGATTCATTCCGAACTTGGTTTCCGTCCGTTTTGCGATGATTGTACTGGTGTGTCTAAAAATGCTGCATACGGCACACTTCCAAAAAATCAAAGTTAACAACAGATGTTAAGAGGGAAAAACCATGATTTTTACCAGTGGATAAATTGTGACACCCGTCATGCTCAGACAAACCCACGTAAGAATTTGCAAAAAAAATGTTGTGGTTGCTGCATGTATATCTCCGAGATGGCTCTTGAAAACCGTGATGTGAATTCCGATGAGGAAAATCCAAGTTGGGAGGCGGCTTCTCACACTTGGATGATCCGAGAGTTAGGATTGGATGATATGCTAAAATGTATCCAACATAATCCAACGCGTTTGGCATTTCTTTTTGGGCACCAGTGATTAACTACTAACCCGGGACTGTCGGTTCGAACTATGACTTCAGGCCCAAACCATTATTCCTTAAGCAATTGCAACCCTTTGGTTTTAAACATTTCCCCTCTGGTAATTTGTTACAGTTTGCTACGGAAAATCCATACTTTTCATTGGTAAAATCATCTACATATATTCTCAATGGGCCGCCCTGGTTAACCGCGGCTTAAAATTGCCAGAGGTCCACGCCATCCATCACAATTGTGAAAACATTTGTTAACCATTAATGTCAACCCTGGATTAATAAACCCCGTTTACGGCTGGTGAAAAATGGGGGGTACCATAAAAAAGTATTGGATGAAATGACTATTGGAGGAGTACCCCCCTAATTAATAAACCATGGTTTATTAATCCGAGGTTGACATTAATCACCATTTAATCACCATGAAAAATCTCATGGGAAAATCACCATGAAATCTGAAAATTCTGAAAAATCCCCAAATAAATCCCCAGTTTTTTTCCATCATTTTCCCGTAGATTCTCCATCACTTTCCAGCGATCACCGTGGCTTCAGATCATTTTTTTGGCCATCTACGTGGCTGAGCAGGCGCTTCGGACGCTTGGCAGTGGACGGACGAAGCTCCAAGGGCCCCAAGGGCGAAACGTACCCGACCGTGGTGGAGAAGAGATTAGATATTGTGTATATTATATGATGTAAATATATTTATATATTGTTTATATTATATACACACATATTGTTATATATATATATATGATATTATGTATATATATATATATACTGTATATATATACACTGTATTTATATATATATACTGTATTTATATATATATATATATATTATACCCTAAAGAAAAAAAACTGATGATAGAAGTTAATTCCAGTTATGTGGAATATATCGCAGGCAAATAAACGTGTTACTTACATGGTAGCAGTAGACCTGGCTCCCAAGGATCAGTGTTTTGAGACGATCCTGGCTGTTTGATGAGCACGAAGAAGACGCGAGACTTGACACTCGAGGACCCGGTGAAGGCATGGTGAACCCCTTTTGTTGTGATGGGTACGGTACTGTATTGTTTTAAGCAGCGTTCAAACCCCCAGGCAAATCCCAGTGTAGTGTCAAGAAATCAAAACAAGGTTTGGGAAAACAATAGAAGGTTCTATCATTTTGCCAGAATAGGTTTGGGAAAACAATTCCAACCATGCTGAAAATATAAGTTTCACACATCATATTACATCATATTACATCATATTACATCATATTACATCATTTTACATCATATTACATCATATTACATCATATTACATCACATTACATCACATTACATCATATTACATCATATTACATCATATTACATCACATTACATCATATTACATCATATTACATCATTTTACATCACATTACATCACATTACATCACATTACATCATATTACATCATATTACATCATAAATCAAATTAAACATTGAACACATACTGTTTTGAAGACCTTCCAGCGCCCAAATTTCTGCGCTCTTTGGATGATGGGGATGATCCTTCTGACAGCCCACTGTAGTCAGTCTGAATCTTTTTATGAATATGTTTAGTGGGTTTATAAATATGTAATATATAGTGGGTTTATATGAATATATATGAATATATATCTGTAATAGTGGGATTTATCATATAAAATGTGGTGAATTTTATTAATGTCGAATACAGATTAGTGTAGAGAAGGCCCTCCCCCCCTCCCCCCCTCAACAAATTTAGGGTACACAATACGATGGAAATTTCAAAGGACCGGGGTACACAATAGTGTGGAATCAAAAAAAAATATAGATTTCAATTGATTTCAATTTACTTTCAATTAATTTCAATTTACTTTCAATTGATTTCAATTTACTTTGAATTGATTTCCATTGATTTCAATTAACTTTCAATTGGTTTCAATTTACTTTCAGTTTACTTTCAATTGATTTCAATTTACTTTCAATTGATTTCAATTGATTTCAAATTACTTTCAGTTTACTTTGAATCAATTTCAATTTATTTCAACTTAATTACTTTCAATTGATTTCCATTAATTCCAACTGATTTCAATTTACTTTGAATTGATTTCAATTTACTTTGAATTGATTTCAATTGATTTCACTTTACGGTCAATTAATTTTCAATTGATTTCAATTTACTTTCAATTGGTTTCAATTTACTTTCAATTAATTTCAATTTACTTTCAATTGATTTCAATTTACTTTGAATTGATTTCCATTGATTTCAATTAACTTTCAATTGGTTTCAATTTACTTTCAGTTTACTTTCAATTGATTTCAATTTACTTTCAATTGATTTCAATTTACTTTGAATTGATTTCAACTTACTTTCAACTGATTTCAATTTATTTCAATTTAATTACTTTCAATTGATTTCAATTGGTTTCAATTTACTTTCAATTGATATCAATTTACTTTTAATTTATTTCAACTTACTTTCAATTGACATCCCATAGTACTCCCATAGAAAGATCATAGAAATATCATGGAAAACCCAGAGGAATCCCACAGAAATCCCATAGACAGATCATAGAAATAACATGGAATAGCATAGGAGCCACAAAGAAATCCCATGAGAATTCCAATAATAATCCCATAGAAATATCATAGAAACATCATGGAAATACCTTTGAAATCCCACAGGTATCCAATAGAAATTCCACAGGAATCCAATAGATACCATAGAAATCTCATAGGAATCCAATGGAAATCCCATAGGAATCCCATAGAAAGACCACCGACATCCCATAGAAATCCAATAGTAGTCCCAAAGAAATATTATAGAAATACCATGGAAATCCCATAGGAATCCCACAGAAATCCCATAGAAAGATCATAGAAATAACATGGAATAGCATAGGAACCACAAAAGAAATCCTATGAGAATTCCAATAATAATCCCATAGAAATATCATAGAAACATCATGGAAATACCTTGGAAATCCCACAGGAATCCAATAGAAATTCCATAGGAATCCAATAGAAACCCCATAGAAATATCATAGAAACATCATAGAAATACCATAGAAACCCAATAGGAATCCAATGGAAATCCCATAAGAACACCGTAGAAGTCCCATAGCATCCCTTCAGAAATCCCATAGAAATCCTCCAGAAATATCATAGAAACATCATGGAAATCCCATAGGAATTCCATAGAAATCCAATAGTAATACCATAGAAATACCATAAAAGAAAAAAACTTTAGCAAAGGAAAAGGTAAAGGGATTGTTTGAAAAAAATCACCCCAGGAAGCATCTGGACACAATAGTGTACCCCCCAAACAAACCATACTATTGTGGATCAGGGTTGCTCATGGACTACCCCCTTGAAAAAATGTTTGGGTGATGTTTTTTTTTTTTTTAAATTGGGTTTTCATAAGGCATCATATATTTTGGGAAATTGGGCATTTCTGAGAATTTCAAATGAAAGAAACTAATTGAGAAAGTTTAGGAAGTAAAAGACAAACTTTAGCAAAGGAAAGGTAAAGGGATTGTTTGAAAAAAAAACACACCAGGAAGCAGCGGGACACAATAGTGCACACCCCAAACAAGCCATACTATTGTGGATCAGGCTTGCTCATGGACTACCCCCTTGAAAAATTGTTTGAGTGATGTTTTTTAATTGGGTTTTAATAAGGTGTCATATATTTTGGGTAATTGGGCATTTCTGAGAATTTCAAGTGAAAGAAACTAATTAATTAAGAAAGTTTAGGAAGTAAAAGAAAAACTTTCGCAAAGGAAAAGGTAAAGGGATTGTTTGAAAAGAAAAAATCACGCCAGGAAGCATCTGGACACAATAGTGTACCCCCCAAACAAACCATACTATTGTGGATCAGGGTTGCTCATGGACTACCCCCTTGAAAAAATGTTTGGGTGATGTTTTTTTTTTTATTTGGTTTTAATAAGGCATCATATATTTTGGGAAATTGTGCATTTCTGAGAATTTCAAGTGAAAGAAACTAATTAATTAAGAAAGTAAAAGAAAAAACTTTAGCAAAGGAAACAAAAACTTTAGCAAAGGAATAGCATAGGAACCACAAAGAAATCCCAGGAGAATTCCAATAATAATCCCATAGAAATATCATAGAAACATCATGGAAATACCTTGGAAATCCCACAGGAATCCAATAGAAATTCCACAGGAATCCAATAGAAACCCCATAGAAATATCATAGAAACATCATAGAAATACCATAGAAACCCCATAGGAATCCAATGGAAATCCCATAAGAATACCATAGAAGTCCCATAGCATCCCTTCAGAAATCCCATAGAAATCCCCCAGAAATATCATAGAAACATCATGGAAATCACATAGGAATTCCATAGAAATCCAATAGTAATACCATAGAAATACCATAAAAGAAAAAAACTTTAGCAAAGGAAAAGGTAAAAGGGAATGTTTGAAAAAAAAATCACCCCAGGAAGCATCTGGACACAATAGTGTACCCCCCAAACAAACCATACTATTGTGGATCAGGGTTGCTCATGGACTACCCCCTTGAAAAAATGTTTGGGTGATGTTTTTTTTTTTGGTTTTAATAAGGCATCATATATTTTGGGAAATTGGGCATTTCTGAGAATTTCAAATGAAAGAAACTAATTGAGAAAATTTAGGAAGTAAAAGAAAAACTTTAGCAAAGGAAAATGTAAAGGGCATGTTTGAAAAAAAAACACCCCAGGAAGCAGCTGGACACAATAGTGTACCCCCCAAACAAACCATACTATTGTGGATCAGGTTGTGCTTTTAAGTGGTAGGACATTTGGAAATTTCAAATGATCAAGTGAAAATAACTAAGAAAGTAAAGAAACAACTTTAAAATGTTGGAAAAAAGGAAGAAATTGCACCTGGACACAATAGTATCAATGGTGAACCCAACCCCCTACAATTTAGGATCAATTATAATTACATTAATTATTTTTAAAATTTATAAAATGTTCAAATGTTTAAATTGTTGAATTAAAAATTGAATATATAAACATGTTTCAAATAAAATAACAAATACAACTAAAAAATACTTCACTTCGAATGATCCCCACCATGGCATTTATACATTTTCTTACTGGCAAATCTTCTGGCATTCTATCTGACATATTTTCTGGCATTGTATTTGGCATTCTATCTGGCATACCTTCTGGCATATGTTCTGGCATATGTTCTGGCATATCTTCTGGCATATCTTCTGGCATTCTATCTGGCAAATCTTCTGGCATTCTATCTGACATATCTTCTGGCATTTTTTATTGGCATTCTATCTGGCATATATTCTGGCTTATGTTCTGGCATATCTTCTGGTATATCTTCTGGCATTCTATCTGGCAAATCTTCTGGCATTCTATCTGACATATCTGCTGGCATTCTATTTGGCATTCTATCTGGCATATCTTCTGGCATATCTTCTGGCATTCTATCTGGCATATCTTCTGGCATTCTATCTGGCAAATCTTCTGGCATTCTATCTGGCATATCTTCTGGCATTCTTTCTGGCCGTTGAAGTCCGGCAGTGCCCACGGCGATCTGGAAGTCGCGGTTCAGGTCCGGGAGTGCCCACTGCGATCTGGAGCTCGCGGTGGAGGTCCGGCAGTGCCCACTGGGATCTGGCGCTCGCAGTGGAGGCCCGGCAGTGCCCACTGGGATCTGGCGCTCGCAGTCGAGGTCCGGCTGTGCCCATTGGGACCTGGACTGCGAGGAGGAGGAGGAGGACGAGGAGGACGAGGAGGAGGAGGATGCGGAGGCGGAGGAGGAGGAGAACAGCTCTGATAAAATCTAACAACCCTCACCTGGCAGGTGGGGAAATAACAATGAAACTAACTTTTTAAAATGTGTAATTATCAAATGAAAAAAAAATAGAAAACAATTCAAAACAATTAAAAAAACAAAATTAAAAAAAAAAAAACTGAAAAAACTTACCCCAAAATCCTTTGGACACAATAGTGTGCCCCTCCATCATTTCCAAGGGTTCACAATTATTTTGGAGTCTGTGGACACAATAGTGTACCCCCACACTAATCCGTATTCCACATTATTCTGAAATCCACTGTTTTGGATTTTGAAAATTGAATGGTGGGTTTATGAAAATTAATGAATATTAATGATATGAGGTCTTAAGACATGCCTAGTGCATAAGTCACGTTTCATAGCTGGATTCAACCCCATGCGAGAAGGCAGGTGCTGAGTTCCTGGGTGACTCTGTGCATGTCGGGTTTCCATGGTATTTGAAACTATTCTCTGGTAAACGTTTACATAGCTATGGAAAATCACTATTTTAGAGCTGGGTAAATCAACAATTTCGACTGGGCCATGGCTTCAATAGCTGTCTATGTATGTTTACCAGGCCGGGTAGGGTCCCCCAAGATCAAGGCTTCCCGAAGTTTGCAATCCAAAAATATCGCTGCTGTGCAGCATTCGCCAAGGATCGAGTGGGGCAATTTGTTCGATATGGCCATCGTTCTCTTCGGACTTGTGGATCCTGGGCAGCAATGGGAGAAAAGGGATCCTTTCTGAAAGGGGGAACTTGTTCAACTGGAGTAATTTACCCTCTGGTTATGTCAAAATAGTTATTGAAAATGGCCCATTTATAGTTGATTTACCTATTAGACATGGTGATTTTCGATAGCTATGTTAGTTTACCAGAGGGCAAGGTTGCTTGTTTTGAACGTCTATGTGCAATTGACTTGTCATTTATACGATCGAAGAACATCGGCAAAGCTGTTCCAAATCCAGGCCAGATCCATCAATTCCTTCTCTTTTGATCGAAGGGATACGATTTTAGGTTGCTTATACCAAAAAACACCCCGATATTTATGCCGTGATATCCGAATATAAATTCCCATGATATCCCAAGAAATTGCCATAGATGTTGATATGGATTCCTAAAATGCTAAATCCCCAAGTCACCGGTTTTAATAGCAAAATCGAATTTTGGATGATGCAAGGGGTACCCCATGACTTTGGAAACCTCCATTAATATACCAGATTCACCATTTGGGACATATCTCCTGAAGTTATCTCCCCCATTGTACACCCGAAAATCATCCTAGGAGGTGGGTCATCAAACGTGGCAATTGAAAATTCCCCATAAATTGACGATTTCATAGGAAAATCAACTATAAAGGGAGGAATTAATAGACACATCAACTACAAAATGGAGGATTTTCCATTACCACGCTTGATTACCGGAAGGAAACTCCCATGAATACTATTGTTATAAGTAGCATAAATAAACAATCATACACATATATGTAATTATATATAATTAATGTTGATGTATACACCCTATGAATTATTTATAGTTATAGCAAGCCCCATAAAGATCGAAAAGTAAACACCTGCTCAAAAAGTTGTAATTTACCTTTATTTTTTTGGGGGGATGCACTATATATCTTCCAAAAACCTTAGATGTCCTTTTCCCATTGCTTGATTATTTGTGGCTTCCCCCAATTTAACAACAGATAGATGATCAGTAATCATACACCAAACCAGCCCTTCTATTTTTCCTGAACGGGCAATAGACCACCCCCCTCAATTCCATATATATATATTATATATATACATATGTATATACATATGTATGTATGTATGTATGTTATGTTATGTTATGTTTTGTTTTGTTATGTTATGTTATGTTATGTTATGTTATGTATGTATGTATGCATGTAATTATGTAATTATGTATGTATGTATGTATGTAATGTATGTAATGTATGTAATGTATGTATGTATGTATGTATGTATGTATGTATGTATGTAATGTATGTATGCAATGGTATGTAATGGTATGTAATGGTATGTAATGGTATGTAATAGTATGTAATGGTATGTAATGGTATGTAATGGCATGTAATGGTATGTAATGGTATGTAATGGTATGTAATGGTATGTTATGGTATGTTATGGTATGTAATGGTATGTAATGGTATGTAATGGTATGTAATGGTATGTAATGGTATGTAATGGTATGTAATGGTATGTAATGGCATGTTATGGTATGTTATGGTATGTAATGGTATGTAATGGTATGTAATGGTATGTAATGGCATGTTATGGTATGTTTTGGTATGTTATGGTATGTTTTGGTATGTTTTGGTATGTTATGGTATGTTATGGTATGTTATGGTATGTTATGGTATGTTATGTTATGGTATGTTATGGTATGGTATGTTATGGTATGTTATGGTATGTTATGGTATGTTATGGTATGTTATGGTATGTTATGTTATGTTATGGTATGTTATGGTATGTATGTATGCATGCATGTATGTATGCATGCATGCATGCATGTATGTATGTATGTATGTATGTATGAATATACAATTATAGTATATTATAGGCATATATATATATATATATATATATATGTCCATATAATCCATTTTGTCTTGTCTTAACTATATGGGGGTGTCCGTTTTGTCATGGCTACCCCCGTAACCAGTCGTGGATGACCAGGACTTTGCGATCTCCGTGCAGGTGCACGATGCGGCACGGCGCTCCAGTGACGTGGCGTAACCATCTATGACTTAGGGTATCTAGGGCTAGGGTTTGACCCATAGCCATATTATTAACCAGATATATACACATATATGTGTATATATATATATGTTTTTTAATGTATATAATATATATATATATACTATTTAAAAAATATATATGATAAAAAATATATATATATATACATAATGTATATATATACACAATAATAATAATGATTAATAATATATATATATGATAAAATATAATAATAATATTAATAATATTAATATTATTAATAATAATAATAATATATATATATATATATATGTAATATATATATATATATATATATTACATATATATATATATTACATATATATATATATATTACATATATATATATATTACATATATATATATATTAAAACATGGTTATAGATTGTGAATGTGCTGGTGAAATGGGATTTAAGGTAAATAGTTAATAGTTACACATGTGAAACCTAGTGATATGGGATTCATTTCTTTTTGGGTTTAGAGCAATATGTTAAACCATATATGTGCTAAAAATATAATATGTTGAACTATCTAGGTAGTTAAGCAACAATATGTCCGAATTGTGTTATTTAACCACCAACAAAACATGATTAATAAAAAAAAACAACCGTTCACCAACAAATGCATGTTGGTTGAATGGGGATATCATGGGAATAGCATGGGATTGGGCTATAGAGGTGAATTATTAGATCATTTGTAAGTGGATTTATATGCCATAGATCATTGTATAGCCAGACATCACATTAATTATTTTGGGAAGGTGAAATCACATAGTTCAGCAAGATGGCTTCAATTATTCCTTCCTTCCCGACATTCATCCCCCTTGACGTTGACCCCAATGTGATTCAAATACACGGTCAAATTCACATATTTACTTTGGAGGTTCAATGCCATTTGATTCCACTGTGGTTAAATTCACTTTAAATACACGGTGTACTTGAACCACTGTTGACTTTCACCTAGCGAGACTTTTTTTGAAGGGTAGATGTGGGTAGGCGCCCCATTCGTCCAGCTGGGTCTCCAATGAATTGTTGGAAAACAAGGGGAATACAAAGGTCTTAGGTAATTAAATTCAATGGTTGTTGGACATACTGAGGAACTTATGTATTCAGTTGATTCGGGTTGCAATATTCCATGTATTGCTATAGATAGAATACAGCCATATTCTGGTTGGTGGTTTGGAACATGAATTTTATTTTTCCATTCAGTTGGAAATGTCATCATCCCAACTGACTTTCACTCCATCATTTTTCAGAGGGGTAGGTCAACCACCAACCAAAATATTATTAACCATCATTAACCATATAATAACCATCATCATTAACAGTATATTAACCACAATGGTAGGTATAGTATACCAGCATTTTTTTTAGCCAGCGACTGTCCGGGTACCATCCGGGTTTCCCTGGCTGTTGACCCATGGCAATTCGGAGGTTCAATGCTGACGCGTTTGCTGCGTACCTGTCGTGTCGTCAAGACCATGCGATTGCTGCGTGTAAACTGGCATAACCTGACTTTCGGGGGAAGATGCCAGTGATGAAAATAACGTTTTTTCACCAATCAAACAATGGATTCTTTAGGGGATTTACTTGTGATTTTCCATGGGATTTCATGGGGAGAGATCCTCCAGTGTCATGTTCAACGTGCCTGGCGGATTTTCCAGCCACGGCAATGATGACACCGGAGGCTATCTGAACGACCCGGCCTGGTAAACATACAAAACGCTATTGAAAATGGCCATAGAAATAGTGGATTTACCCAATTAAAATGGTGGATCTTTCCGAAGTGATGTAAACGTTTACCAGGCCGGGTAAGCCTATTTTCACTACTTGTAGCTGGGGTGAACCAGCCCACTGGAATGAACCGACATGACCTGTAAGTTACTGTGGATGGTTGCGAAATTCTGCATCACCAAAAGGATGCTTGAAACCCTATAAACAATGGGATGTTTACCACCTAGCAACTGGTGCAGGATTTCTAACCGCCTCCGCACGAAAATAATGGGATCCTCCGATGTTTTGGAGCTTAAGTCGTGGACACCATCTTGGAAGATCCGGTCAAAATCACCACCAAGCCATGATGATCAGATACCCTCTGGTACTTTTTCACATTGCTATTGAAAATGGTGATAGTGGATTTCCCCATGAAAAATGGTGGATCTTTCCATAGTTATGTAAACGTTTACCAGAGGGTATGATCAGCGTTGATGGGTCATGACTCAACTTCAATGGATGAAATATGTCCGCCCTGGGATCATCGAGAAAGGCCCAGCCCGGCCAGTTATAGGTTGGGTTATAAAGCCATTAACTATACCCTCTGGCGATTTAACATAGCCATGGAAAATGGCCCATTTATAGATGGTTTACCTATTAAAAAATGGTGATTTTCTATGGCTATGTTAAATAACTAGATGGTAGTTGTATCATGGTATATCATGGTGTATCATGGTATATCATGTTATATCATATCCTCTATAAACCCTATAGTTACTATAGTTTTTAGGAAGTATTGCTGGTGAACTTGGCGGGGCAGCTTGTAGGTCATGAAGTTGTTCAAGCAGTTGCGCAGTTTGGTTGAGACCTGGTATGCCAGCAGCTTTGTCGGCAATTGGGATTTTTCTGACGGATTTTTCGGCACCTCTACCATCATTCAGAATGATTGAAGGACAATATTGGAGGTTTCCTATTTGAAAATAGTGGATTTACCCATTATATCCATGGTGATTTTCCAACTGATCAGAATGATATACTGCTTGGTGGTGACTGGAACCATGGAATGTCATCATCCCAGAGGGGTTGGATTCATCTGTCTGGTCCGTTGACAACGAGAGGATAGCCCAGGCTTTATAGTTTATAGCTTATAGATGGTTAGAGTTTTCGATGATGGTGGAAATATTTACAGTTGGATGAGTTTATATATCAACTTATAATATCTTATAACTGTTGGAACCACTTTTGTAGAGAGTAAACCGGCCAAATCGGGCGTCTCATTTACGCGTTTTCATGGTCTCAGGTTTGACCAACAGCCATTCAGCCTTCTTCCGCATTAGTGAGGCCAAATCATGCCAAGAATCCTAGAAACTCATGAGATCGTACTTGTAATCATGGACCCCCACGAACTAGACTTGCTGGATAGGAAATTATGTTTATCATGTTTGTGATTATTGACCCATTGACCCATTCCCCCAAATATTAAATACCCCCTTAAATGGGCCCGTAGAATACATCCAATATAATATATGATAATACAGCATAATATATCATACTACATATATGCATTTGCATTTGAGGTATATTCTATTTGCATCCGCGTGATCACTCCTTTTTCAGCGAATTCTCGCCTCCAAGATCACCTTTTTCTGCCGGTCAGATGCCGGATCCGCTGGGGGAGGCCTTTCTGCACTCTTTTGGTCGATGATCCTGCTGACCATTTGCCAAATGATTGCCGCGCTGGTTCTGTGCGAGACAAGTCTCTTGGAGGAACGCGTCCGAACGACGAAGGGTGCGGCTTTCACGCTCATGTGGATGGTAGGCCTGAAGACAACTGAAAATTTGGAGTGAAAACAGAGGAACACCTTAATACTTAATCAGAAAAACATGGTTTCCATGTTTCCACGGTTTTCCGCGCATTTGTTGTTTAAACCAAGCTCCAACAGGGAGATAATCCCTTCCCCCTAATCCTAAACCACCCCTCAAATAATAAACACCTCAGGTAGTTTTTATTATTAGGTGGGTATTTATTATTAGGGAACCCTATTAATAAATTTAAAACCTTAATAATAAAAACTAGTTTGATCGATTTCAAAATCAATTAAAATTCCTTTTATAACGCAATTAAAATATTGCCAAAAATTGGATTTCGAAGCGGACCCTATTAATAAATTTAAAGCCTTAATAATAAGATTAGTTTGTTCGATTTCAAAATCAATTAAATTTCCTTATATAAAGCAATAAAAATATGGCCAAAAATTGATTTTCGATGCGGGCCCTAATAATAAATTCAAAGCCCCAATATAAAAAACTAAAAAAAATCGGACGGACCCCAATAATAAACACCCCGGGGTTAACTAGTTTTTATTATGAGGGGGCAAAACCCACAAATGGTAGCTTTATGTGTCAATTGTTTTCTAAATCAATTTTTCAGTCAAATTGGTCAACCTGAAATTGTCCGAACTGGGAGAATGGACCCTAGTTTTGAGTATTTGCCTCGTCGGATTCAACCACAGTTTGCTGCTTTTTCTGTTTGATTCGGCCGCGTGTGACTTGTTGAAGTTACAAACATGTCGTTGTTCCAAAAAAAAAGTGAACAATCACCACGTGTCACACTATAGTGATACTATAGCGGCTACATTGAGTTGTGAATTTACGAAAGAAATTCTCCACTTTTGAGTTGTGGGTCATAAAAACAGCCTGGGAGCCGAAATTCCTGAGGTGTCCCCGTCTTGCTGGATCCTGATAGCCCCTGGGATGCTGGAAACCTCCGAGAACTGTGGGAACTGGTAGATTTGGAGGTTTCCATAATGGATGATCCCGAAAATGGATGGTGTCTAATGAAAATCCTATCTAGAAATGGATGATTTAGGGGTACCCACATTTGAGGAAACCACCATTTGTGTAGCTTGCTTCCTGGAAATGCTGAAAGTCATGCGACTAGCAGTGATTGTGGGTGTTGATGAGTGTTGAAAGGATGGACGCAAGTGATTTTTGGGATGTTTGGTTTTGCAATGTTCTACATCAGGTCATCAGACACATATTTTTATGTTCTTAGTACAATACATATCCTGGATATATGATATATGCATCAGAAGCTGTAGAACCTTTTAGCCAGTTGATCATTGCATATAAGCATATCATATATAATTATAAAATGTATTAAAAATATATTAATAATAATTATCATTATTACGTGTATATATATATATATGTATATCATGGGTAAATTTCATCACGACCTCACTGTTCTCCCTCACTATAATCATAGTTAATAAGGGGGAATCATCCCCAAATACCCAGAGATCTGCGTTACCATTGATTCGGCTGTCACGGATGGTCATCATCCCTCCGTTTTTGTGGGTGGCTGCCATGGGAATACAACTAGGAATCCTATGGAAGAATGGTGATTCTTTACCAATCTTTACCAATCTTTACCAATCTTTACCAATCTTTACCAATCTTTACCAATCTTTACCAACCTTTACCAATCTTTACCAATCTTTACCAATCTTCACCAATCTTTACCAATCTTTACCAATCTTTACCAATCGTTACCAATCTTTACCAATCTTTACCAATCTTTACCAATCTTTACCAATCCCCATGATAGGTCAACTCATCGGTCAACTCATCGATTCCCATGGCGAACTTCCTGATAGAAAAACACAACTCAAACTCACGCGTAATCCAATTAGGTTTTAATCCATCCACACATTATTGAAAGGGGAGCATCTAAAATATCAATTACTTTACTTCGTGTGATCCCCACCATGACATTTATACACTTTCTTACTGGCAAATATTCTGGCATTCTATCTGACATATCTTCTGGCATTCTATCTGGCATTCTATCTGGCATATGTTCTGGCATATCTTCTGGCATTCTATCTGGCAACTCTTCTGGCATTCTATCTGGGATACCTTCTGGCATGCTATCTGACATATCTTCTGGCATTCTATCTGTCATTCTATTTGGCATTCTATGTGGCAAATCTTCTGGCATATGTTCTGGCAAACATTCTGGCACTTTATCTGGCATACCTTCTGGTTATCTGACATTCTATCTGGCATACCTTCTGGCATTCTATCTGGCATATCTTCTGGCATTCTATCTGGCATTCTATCTGGCATATGTTCTGGCATATCTTCTGGATTCTATCTGGCAACTCTTCTGGCATTCTATCTGGCATATCTTCTGGCATGCTATCTGGCATCTCTTCTGGCATTCTATCTGTCATTCTATCTGGCATTCTATGTGGCAAATCTTCTGGCATATGTTCTGGCAAACATTCTGGCACTTTATCTGGCATACCTTCTGGCTATCTGACATTCTATCTGGCATACCTTTTGGCATTCTATCTGGCATATCTTCTGGCATATCTTCTGGCATGCTATCTGGCATTCTATCTGGCATTCTATCTGGCATATGTTCTGGCATATCTTCTGGATTCTATTTGGCAACTCTTCAGGCATTCTATCTGGCATATGTTCTGGCAAATCTTCTGGCATTCTATCTGGCATATCTTCTGGCATTCTATCTGGGATACCTTCTGGCATTCTATCTGGCATTCTATCTGGCATATCTTCTGGCATTCTACCTGGCATATCAGCTGGCATATGTTCTGGCATATGTTCTGGCATTCTATCTGGCATGCTATCTGGCATATCTTCTGACATCCTATCTGGCATTCTATCTGGCAAATCTTCTGGCATTTGTTCTGGCATATCTTCAGGCATATCTTCTGGCATTCTATCTGGCAAATCTTCTGGCATTCTACCTGGCATATCTTCTGGCATTCTATCTGGCATATCTTCTGGCATACCTTCTGGCATTCTATTTGGCATTCTACCTGGAATATCTTCTGGCATTCTACCTGGCATACCTTCTGGCATTCTATCTGGCATATCTTGTGGCATTCTATCTGACATTCTATCTGGCATTCTATGTGGCAAATCTTCTGGCACATGTTCAGGCAAACATTCTGGCACTTTATCTGGCATACCTTCTGGCATTCTATCTGACATTCTATCTGGCATACCTTCTGGCATTCTATCTGGCATATCTTCTGGCATTCTATCTGGCGTACCTTCTGGCATTCTATCTGGCATATCTTCTGGCATTCTATCTGGCATTCTATCTGGCATATGTTCTGGCATATCTTCTGGATTCTATCTGGCAACTCTTCTGGCATTCTATCTGGCATATCTCATGGCATTTATCTGGCATACCTTCTGGCATTCTATCTGACATTCTATCTGCCATCTCTTCTGGCATTCTATCTGGCCGTTGAGGTCCAGCGGTGCACACTGAGCTGGGCAGGTCCCAGGTTGAGGTCCAGCGGTGCACACTGAGCTGGGCAGATCCCAGGTTGAGGTCCAGCGGTGCACACTGAGCTGGGCAGATCCCAGGTTGAGGTCCAGCGGTGCACACTGAGCTGGCAAGGTCCCAGGTTGAGGTCCAGCGGTGCACACTGAGCTGGGCAGATCCCAGGTTGAGGTCCAGCGGTGCACACTGAGCTGGGAAGGTCCCGTGTTGAGGTCCCAGTGCACACTGAGCTGGGAAGTTGGCAAAGAGCTTGGCGAAGAGAGTTGGCAAAGAGCTTGGCGAAGAGTTGGCAAGGCGGAAGTGGAGGTGGAAGTTGATGCAGACATGGCCGAGGAGAAACTAGAGGAGGAGGAGGACAAATAGCCGAGGAGGAGGAGAACAACTCTGATAAAATCTAACAACCCTCACCTGGCAGGTGGGGAATAAAATCACCATCTGCATGTGTTGGTTAAATCACACTGTTTGCTCGTACATCACCATTCTTGTTGGGTAAATCGCCTTTTTCGTGGTCAAATTATTATTTTATGCGTTAGATAACTCCCTGATAAAATGGCACAGTTAGGCACAGTTGGCCCTGAGGTCCTCACAAAGTGTCCGACAAGCAATGGCTATTCGACTCTCGGTACCAAACGAGCTGTGTATCAGGGTAGCAAACGAGCAGTGTTCAAAATCCCTGTTGATTGATGGTTCGTTTGGGGATTCTATGCAATATACCGGGGACTATAGTCTAGTCATAGTCTAATCCATGGGCATAGCTTTTCAGTGACCCGGTCGGGACCATCATGGTCAATTTTGGCCTGTTGCACCGGATCAACGGAACTCAACGGAACGCGTTGCCACAACGGAGGACCATTATGGCACCTTCATGAACGCTTCCTACACCTTCTTCGAGATCACCTTCAGTGGAGGCCGATTTTTTGTTTAATCACCGACACTTTTTTAGATCGAGTGATTATTAAAGTCTGACCATGATTTTCTGACATAGTTTCTGGCATGTCATCTGAAAGTATATATGGCATATATATATATATATATAATCTATGACATTATATTTGACATCCTTTCTGGCATATACTCTGACATTACGTTTGAAATTCTTTCTGGCATTCTGCTTGGCATCTATTCTGACATTCTATCTGGCATTCTATTTGGCATCTATTCTAACATTCTTTCTGACTTTTTTCTGGCATTCTATTTGGCCGTCTTTCTGGCATCTATTCTGACATTCTATGTGCGGGTCCAGGCGTGGCCCACTGCATCCAGAGCTCGCGATATAGCGTTCGGGTCCATGCATCCAGGGCTCGCGATATGGCTCGGACCTGTTGATGCCCACAGTCACGACGAGCTGCTGGCAGAGGAGGAAACGAGGAGGAGAAGGAGAAGGCGGCGGCGGTTGCGGAGGAAGCATCGCACCTTTGTTGAAATCTAGAGGTCCTCACCTGGCGGGTGGGGAAATTACCGGCAATACTGAACATGTAAGGGATGGACATCGGCTTCTGGAAATCGTCAAAAAACACATGTAAGCGATGGGACCTTTCGAAACAGCGCTGCCCCCCTTGACACCTTGGAAGGTTGCATCATAACTGTGCGGAATTTTCTCTTAAGCGATACCACCCAAGTTAGCCATACATCATTTTTGTGCAAACGTGTGGTAAGTGATGGGACCTTTCCAAATTTCTGGATGTCCTTTCCGTGAACCTGGAATTTCCGAGATTGCACACATGTTGGTACTTTCCTCATTTTCTACCACGGTTTTCCAACTGTTCTTTTCCAGAAACCATTAAAAAAATTGGAAATCTATAAGAACTCCGCAGAATTCCAGCATTTTCTCGCATATGTTTAGCATTTTCCCACATATTTCCAACATTTTCTTACCTCAAAACCAGCTTCCAGCGTCATTCCCAACGACGCGGCCGTGCCAGGATGGCCCGCCCTGGTGCGACCGTTGCTGGAAGACTTCGGCTTTAGCTTCGCTTTTCCCTGTGACGCTGCTATGATTGGGATTGGCGGAGAGGCAAAGCCTCCAGTGAACAATGGCTATTAATAATGGTTAATAACGGTTAATGATGGTCAATAGTGGTTGTTAATAGTGGTTAAATTAATAGTGATTAATGATGGTTAATCATGGATAGTAACGGTTAATGATGGTTAATAATGGTTGATAATGATTCGTAATGGCTGAATGTGGTTAGTATTGGTTGATTATAAGTTAATTTCGGTTGACATAATAACGGTTCGTGAAGTAATGGTTAACAATAATAATAATGGTTAATGATTGTATCTTACACATATTATAATATTATATATATATATTACATAATGTATATATATATATATTATACACATATAATGCATATAAATATATATATATATAATGTGGACATCACAATGCCATAAACCTACCATGACTGGGGATGGTTGGAATCCCACCCGTTCCTGGTGATTTGCGGGTTGGTGAAATATCTTGGCTTTACCATGGTTTACCAAATTAATAATGTATAACGGTTAATGCATCATGGTCAATAATGGTTAATGTTGACAAACAATGGTAAAATTAATGATGGTTAATGCATCATGGTTAATGTAAACAATGGTAATTGTTGGTTATATAATGGTTAATGCGTAAAGTTGTTCAACAATGCTTAATGTTGGTAATTTAAGTTACAGTCTGCTTTGATTTAAGCGTCAAGACATGGGGATTTGAATGGGTTTCTATCATGGGATTTTATATGTTTCCGGGGACGTAAAACCTAATGGAACATGAACCACTTGGGGAACCGATAGGAATTTTCTTAGGGAATCGGGACATTGTTGGGACCCCTTGTAGAAGCAAATCCAAGAAAAATTGTAGATGACGGAGGTGTTTTTCGACGAGTCAACGAAGAGTTTATGCGAAACCATGGCCCATGTGTAGAGGATTTACCTATGGTTTTGGTGGCCCATTTTCTGGTAATTCATTTTTTGTGCGTTTTATATGTAAAGTCTAAAGTCAGATAATAGGAAACATCATATATTTCCAATTGAGCCAGTACTGCATCATTCAAACTATACAATAGCAGAAATTGGTTATGTATCATTAATGGAATAATACTATATACATACACATAAAATCACATAAGCATTATGATGTTTTTTTATTTACATACTGTATGTTTACCATGTATATACGATAAATTTCTGTTCAGTTTCTACGTTTCTTCACGAGGCATGCTCTACGTCGTCTTGGTGGTCTTTGCTGCCTTACGGCTCATCTCTGTGCCTTCGCCAGTTGGGGATTAGCCCCATTTGGAGGTTTCCAGAAATTGGGTATTTGGGTAAATTTTACGCGTCGGGCGGATAGATACCAGCGCGTTATTTTAAGGGTCACGCATAGATCATCTTGGTATTTATATACAGTATTTTCATGTTTCATGTTTCTTTGAGGCCTTCACGAACTAACTTTGTTTTCCATCAAATCACAAGAGAGCTGTGGAAGTTCGAATGTTTGGTGTGCATCCGTGTTATTCATATCCATGTGATAAGATCATTGGGGGACATGCTGCAGCACAAATGCCTCGAATCAGAAGATGTTTTGGTTGCGGTGCTAAAGGACATCAAAAAGAACGATGTCCGACGCGGGCGGGCGCTGAGATCAGGAAACTTCGAAAGCTGGTGAGAACTCAACAGGCCATTTCGAAACCTGACCATTACAAAAGACAACTCCGTGGAGTTGAAGCAGCTCTTGGAAGAGGAGCTGAGAAGAAATAGGCCGCAAGTTGAACATAAGAGGTCGCAGCCCGAAGAAGCAAAAACGACTGTGAAGCTGGCAGGGTCGGTGATGCGCCCTTCATGTGGTTGGTCTTATGTGGATTTGCTGAAAACTTTGCAGATGTTAGGTTGATGTTGATTTGTTGGATCAGAAACATTGTTTGTTTCATTTGAAGGACGGCACGGGATGGATGTTATTAGCCCCCCCAACTCCCCCACCCACCCCATATTAACAATGTCGGGCGGGTATCTACCCGCCCGACACCTGAATTATAACGACCTCACTGTTCTCCCTCACTGGAATCATGGTTAGTAAGGGGAATCATCCCCAAATAGCCGAACTTTTCAGGTTTTTGAACTATTATAATTTACCCAGGGTTATACCCCAAAAATGGATGGTTTATAAGGGACAATCCGATCTAGAAATGGATGATTTGGGGGTACCCCCATTTTCAGGAAACCTCCATGTGTCAGACAAACACAACACAAGTGAAGGTTACTAGTTTTTTTCCCCAGTATGTTTTGTTTGTTCATGAAAACATACCATTATTTGTCCAGATATTTAAGCTTTTGGCAAACACATGTTCAGCCATACGTGTCCAAGAAATTGTTGTGGGGCATGTTCAAAAAGAACCACTAACCATCACGTTGCTTGAAATGTTTCAAATGTACCCATTGTACCCCTGTGGCCATCGAACCTGACAATCGAAAACCCACTACATCTGGAGGGTATAGTAATCCGACGAGACATGGAAAACATGATATGATGTTGCCATATTTTGCTGCAATTTTAGCGTTTTGTTTACTGCTTTGAGGTTTGTTATATTGGGATACTCATGGATAATCATCATAGAATATTGAACAAATGTATATACTGTAACTATATTTGAATTAACTCTCAACGCTGTCAATCTGGAACCTTGGGGGAAAACTACCGGACAGTCCGCCATTTTTTCACCATGAGAAATGACCAAGTGTTGATTATTGTAGTGGTTCATAATGTGAACTAATCCAGAGAAGAAATACCCCCTGGTGAAATAACATAACTATGCAAAATCACCATAGGTAAATCAACTATAAATGGGACATTTTCAATAACTATGTTAAATTACCAGAGGGTACTCAGTCATCAACCAGTATGATGGAACGGGATAGGTTTTTGGGGTATTTCATCTGTGAACCATAATCATCCGTCGATTCTGAATCAGTTCGCCAAATGTTTGGGTTTCCACCAAAATAATAGTAATAATTACAAATCTATACAAATCTGAGATTCTACCAATCTTACACCAAAACCCAAACATGTGGTGATTAATTCGAAAAATCTTGGGTTTTGGTCCTTTTATTTAAACTGCGGTACGCCAGGTCACCCGGACGATCAGCACCGTGCCAGGCCCTCTTCGTGCGATCCACGCTGCAGTTGCTGTCGAACGACACTGGCGCTGCTGTTCTGGAGCGCTTCGAGCAGTCAGCAGAGACGTGTCATGAAAAGAGTCGTGAAACGACGGCCGTAGAGACCAACGGCTAAAGGAGACATGGGTTGAAACCACTAATTGGTAGTGAATATACAACTCTAAAATACACATACTGGGCAAGTTACAACGACCTCACTGGCCCCCCATCAATGATGGTACATACATTATCATACATTGGGAATCACGCAAAAATGGTGCTGTTTCCGTTTGGGCGGGAATTGTTCGGCAACCTTCCACTTCCAAGCTTTGCCGGGTGAACTTTCAAACGGCAGTGTGGTATGTTTCTTTCAGGGCGCCCACTTCTTTCATGCGACTTTGGCACTCTGAAAAAACCTCAAACGCCTCAACCACCATTTCAGGTTGGTGGTTTGGAACACGAATTTTATAATCATCCCAACTGACGAACTCATATTTTTCAGGAGGGCCGGTATGGTCTAGTGGATAAAACGCATTCCTCATGCGTCAGACCCGGGTTCAATACCCGGGTGCAACACTAGGCGGACAGGCGGGCCACTACACCACCCCTGCAGTTAAGGGGATGAGCTAGGGTGTGGTCCGTAAAGACTATCCCTCATATTTTTCAGCGGGGTAGGTATACCACCAACCACCATCTCAGTTGTTTTGTTTCTTTTGAAAGTTTGGAAGCCGAGAGTGTGTGTATGCGCGGGTCCGTACATGTGACGTTATTGGGATGTCCTGAGGAACTCGAACGGAAGCTTGTTGCGCCGCTGTGGCTAAAGCGTGGGTGATTTGCAGCCACATTTTCTGGTAAAAACTGCAATGAAGTTGCTAAAGTTGGGTTGAAACCCCCATTAAACACAAGGTAATGATATATACAAATCGGATTAAAGTTGCACCTGGTTCGCAACCCATTTGGCCTAACCATGCCTAATCCCTTACCAAAGCCTCCCCACATTGTCAAGCCTGCTGACTACGGATCAGAACTGCAGACCCTGGCGCCGCCTTTTTCCATCCAGAAGGAAGTTGGTCAACCCTCGAGAGGATGGTACATGGTGGGACATATCCAACCTTTTTAGAACTTTTTGTTTTTCCATCATACAGAAACATGATAAGACCAGGCATTCATATAATATGATCAAATAGAATCTGAATACATGATATACCAATGATGTATATTATATATGTATGTCAATAGATAACAAATACATATCATACACTACACATGTTTATCTATAAATATTATTATCAATATCAACTCTGGGTTATTTCCTAATTGTTTTGTAAAAGTGGTTATGATTTTTGATAATTAACATATACCGGCTATTATTTATCTGAAACAATATACTACTATTAACACTGTTTGTCAGCTAGTGCCCCTGGATTGTTAATATATTTATTTATACTTTAAAACTATATACACACTGATGATTTTCACTACTGACTTTGGATTAGAATATGTTTATACACTATAACTATCTACATGATATATATATATATATATATAAACTATCTATATTAATGATGATACATATGTGGTTTTCCTAAAACAGGGCTACCCCCAGTCATCATCCATTTTTCTTTGGGATTTTCCATTGGCAAAGCATCCAGAAATCTGGGGAATCTCCACGGAACCTCCCCGAGGCTCTTCCATGAGGCAGATGAGGAAGGCGATCAGCGCCCTGGCGTGCCATCATCGGGGCGTGGAGCTGGGGCCATCATCGGGGGAGCACCAATCAACGGGAGATCCCGCTGGTTGGTATTTTTTTTCATGTTTATGTCATGAAGAATCCGAAAATATCCGAACATTATCAAAATGAATGGTAACTACTTGTTATTTGTACCCTGATGGATTGGAAAGCTCGATTTTTTGAAGAGATTCCAATAACAAATTCAATTCGCCAATACTTGGAATTATTTTCATTGGACATATCATTGGAATTGAAATATGGTTGTTTCAAAGATATTCCCAATTTTGTTGGATTTTTGTTGACATGTCCATATTCTATTCTCATGGCTCTATTCTCATTATATCTCATGATATTCCCATTCTTGTTGTTTAAATCGCATTATGTATACATAATTATATCTAATATATTATGTAATTATATTATATACATTCATTCCCGGTACATTTCCCATATATATATTCAACCAGATTTTCATCCAGTTTTCCAAACGTGTCGAAAACGTGACGTGCCCACGACGTCACCGAGTGACGTTTTTTAAGGAGTTTGACTTTGGAGGAATTGCGGCACTTGCTCAGCCCTTCGGCAATAGATAGATCTGGGGGTATATGTTCAACCCAATGATAACCTTAATGAAAACATGTATAATGGACATGTTTCTAGATCTATAGATATTTCCATATCTACTGATATATCCATATCTATCTAATCTGTGGGAAAAAACCTTAATGATTTATATCAATATCTATCTATTGGAGATGTATAATGGGTTGTAAACATGTCCAAAAGATAGATCTGGATAAACCATGATAAATTGGTATACACATGAGATATGTTAGGAGTAAAAAGAGGGTACACGACGGTAAGATGATGGTTTTGCTGATGGTGATTTAACCATCAACAATGACTTAGCCAACAAAACTGGTGGTATACATTATGGGGTATCCGGAAAAAAAACATGGCAGCCATGGTCTGATTGTTTGACCGACCATTTCCATGGTTCAGAAGTTGATGTTGACCTCGGTTGAATGAAGAGTTTCTGTTGTGGAATAAGAGGCCTCTCGTAGACTATGGAGGTTTAATTTCTTGGGTTTGTTTCAATTTGTTTCAGGAATTGCAAGTCATGATCCAGTTTTTGGCAATTCACAAATACCTCGGAAAAAATCAAAACATGGAATGGTTTGGGCTGCCCGGAGACATAGCCATGGAAAGTCATACAACTCTGCGACTGAATATTTGAACTGCTGATCTCGGTAGCTGCTGATCTCGGTAGCTGCTGATGTCGGTGCTTCTGAGCGAAGAAAGTTTGGGAATTGGATTTGTTTATTTTGGGGCCTCCAATATAGGGGGACTGGAAGGACTATTAGAAGGATGGGCGTATTCACAAGCAAATCTGGACCTAAAGAGTTACAATTCCGTTTCGCTATCACTGAAAGACAGCACAAGATAGGAATCTGAGATATTTTGATGGTTTCTGCGCATGATTGTTCCAAATTGGTTTTACCAACCAACTTTGGATAGTCTAAGCCATCCTCAAATCGTGATTTAAGCAAGCAAATTGAGTATGTGTCAAAATTCAGCCCAAGATAGGTTCACCTTCAACTCACTAACCAATTTTTCGGTTCCCTTGGTCTCAAATGTTGGGCCAAAGCTTTGGGCCAACTTTGTTGATGGACCAACTCGGGGCCCAGGGCCCAACTGGATCCCATCAGGCTTTCCAGAGATTGTTCACTACTTCAGCATCTTGGAGGTCGAAACCAGTGCCTGGTCACCCTGTAGATGACTGGGTTACTGGGTTACCCATTGTTCCAGCCATGTCCTGCCATGTCCAGCCATTTCTTGGATCATCTGGATTCATTTTCCCCCATTTTTCCCAAGCCATCTTTGGCCGAACATCGAGCTTGGTCTCATCCATTGGGCAGGTGGATGTGCACGATGCCGAAATGCTCTTCCACGTTCTCGACGATGGTTTGGGATCCAAGAGACGCGCTTTAAAAAGGACGTTGCTGCTGTCACTGCCAGTGGGCTATGGATTAAAATGCCAGGTCCCCATCCCCTATCATCTCTTAATTATTTAGATTTATTTGGATTTAGATCTTATCTAGTTTTCATCTAGAGTTTTAAAATCGAGTTGAGTAGGTTCTTGAATTGCAGTGCAGACATAATTGGAGGAATGTGTCATACTTGTCGTATCCCAGCTAAAACTTAAGTGTTTTGCTGGGTATCTAAGTTTAGCTTTGTGATTTTTTGGATCCACCATCCAAATTCCTGAATGAGAAAGGCCATCCAGAGTAGGCCGTGCAAATCGTACAAAGTCCTTGACTTTTAAGAGCTGGCTGCACGTGGAAAACTTCAGGTGAAGGGTAAGTAACTGAATCTCATTAATGTTCAATGGTAATTTCAGGATCCTAAAATGGAGGTACTGTACTGTACCATGTAAGGCCATATTTTGTGGGGATATTCCCTTACATAGGCCTTACATAGGCCTCATATATGGTAGGTACCTCCAATTTAGGTTCCTGAAATGACCATTGAAATGTGGTGAATTATGAAGTTGTTGCAGTTGTTGCAATAAAATTGAGATAATTAAGAAGTGGGAAACCATTTTCCGGCAAGCAAAAATCGCTTGGTTTACTTACCACCAATGATGTCAACATGTTTTTCACCCAGCAGATATCCCTTGTGGCATCTCTACGTTGGCTCCATCCCCAATCTTGGATGATTTTAACAACGACCTGGTTTTTCAGGAAGATTTAGCCAGTAATCAAACATGGCTTGCTGGACAATTCCCCATGAGTTTCCCGTTAAAGCCTCCATTGATCTACGGGAATTGCCGATGGCCAAGAACTTGACTCCGCAATAAAGGTGATGGTGTTCTCACGGTGAAAGAGTTCTGCGCCTCGGCAATAAAAAGTGGATAAACATTGATAAAAAGGGTTTCTGATAGCTATGAAATAACTTTATTCATTGGGTTTTTGGATGTTTTTGGGTTCCGCAACGATCACATCACTGTTGGTAAACATATAACTCCAATTTCACGAGCTTTTGGCGATGAAATGGCTATAGTCTATTCATGATATTCATGGGGTTATAAACCAACAAGCATCACTCACTGTAGGGCCTCACCTGGGGAACTAATCTGACAGTCGGAAGACGTGACTGATCATGGTTTCATGACCACGAAAAAATGCGGGAAATAATGATGAGCCATGACAAACGCACGACTTAAAATACATCATTATATCAAATATATACACATGTATATCTGATTGGTGGTTTGGAACATTTTTTATTTTCCATATATTGGGATACACCCTCCCATTTGACTAATATTTTTCAGAGGGGTTGAAACCACCAATCAGATATAGTGGGGATACAACCACCTTAAGCCGAGTTGTTGGTTTGTT